GGGGAAGGGACCAAAACTTTCCTGCTTTCCTGGGAGAGATGTTTGTCTTGCTCTGAATTTAGGTGAAATCAGTAGTTTTGGGACGATAGCAGAAAATGGTTCATGGTAGGGTGAGACAAGACAAAGAATTTTGAATTTAAGCAGGTTTTCAGTTTGCCCTCTTTAAATGTATATGGGAATATGCTGCATACTACAAAGGTCTGGTTCCTGTTTTAGATGTGTATACTTGAAGAATGGGGTAGTTTCAAATCACTGCCTTGAAGACTACTCCAGTGATTCTTGGGAGTTCATGAAATCAGATGCAAGAGGAGACTTTTCAAAACTGCAAAATGGTTAATCTCTTTGCCTGTAGTTTGTGGCCTTTCAGAGTAGAGAAGGGTTTCTAGTCATTGAAAGACACTTCAGGCTTCTCACCGCAAATCTATTCAAGTCTGTTAATTCAGTCCTGTGCAATTTGAGCACATATCATTTGTAAAGATTTTGGTCATTAATGATGTGACTCATGTTTTGTTTGGATTCAAAGTTCATAAAATTGATTGTTGCATTAGTTGTCTATTGGTGGCAACTTAGAGACTAATGTACTATTGTTAGAATGGATTTTTGAACCACACTGTTCAGTTTCTAGCCCAGTCAAGGGAAGACTGAAAATTCTTTGAAAAAAATGAAGAAATTACTTTATCGTCACAGGCCTTAAAGTCCAGTTTTGAGCAGGACATATTTTAAAGAAGACTTATTTTTGTACATCTTTCAACTTCAGATGTGATGTTAAAGCACACCACCTGGGCTACTACAATGCTGTTTGCTTAGGGGTTGATGCTGAAGACACAATAATCTGTCAAGTAGTAGTGTGCTCCTAAAGTTTCCTCTCCTCCTAGCATTTGACTGCGAAGTGTAATTGTTAATATAATCCCCGTAAACTGAAGGGGGAAAGAAAAAAAAAAARAAAAAAAAAGTACTCCTTTTTCAACACACTTAATGAGTATGCTTGATATCACTAAGTTCCGTATTGGGAACTTTAAAGAATCTTAGGAATTTTCCACACAATAGTTAAACTGTTTCTTCTGAATGATTTAGTAAAGTCAAAATAACTGCTTGTTTTGGTCTGACATGTGATTTGAACACTTCATCTATGGAAAGAACTTGCCTATTAATAGCTGCCTAAAGATGTCTGTAGATTCTGATTATTCATCCTACTAGGAAATTACAAAATTACACAAATAGGTGTGGTATTTATATCTGAATTTTTGATGAACGTCTGTAGTATTTTAGGCAAATGTTCTATTAATCAAAAGGAAKTGTTCCTCCACAACTCCATGACACAAATTATGGTTCATCTGCTGATGACCCAGCAGGTCCATCTGCTGATCAAGTGAGATTGCAGCAAGTAATTCTATGGCCCAAAGGTCCCAGTTAAAATGGGTATTGTGAATAATTTAGAAATTATTTTTTTCTGTGTTAGAACTAAGACTTTTACAGTGAAAATGGTGAAATTAAGCACCCAGTATCCTAGTCTGTCTGCATGGCAGTGAATTTGGGTGGTTGTCACTTGACAAGCTTCTTCTGACCATGACTAACTCTGGATGTGGCAAATGTTCTAAAGGGTGGCGGAACTAACAATTTCTGTATCTGATGACCCAAAAAAAAAAAAAAAAAAAACCCTAATCCATTTTGACAATTGTATGCTAGGTTTTTTTTTTTTTTCAGGTTGGTGGCAGTCAGTTGTGTATAATATTCTCTACCAGGTTTGTAGCTGTAACTGTGATGTACAGGTAAAGTGTTTAAATAAATAAATAAATCCTCCCCAAAACAACTGACCGAACCAAGGACCTATGAAAATGGAAACAAATAATGCAAGGGTAAGATACACGCTTTTGTATTTTTATTCTTATAAGGTTATTTGCTGCCTGTTGTTGGCCTCTAGCAGTCTATATTATTTAAATTCTAATATATGAATTATTTGGATTGAATTCATGTTTGGGGCCATGGTGTTGTATGTATTGATGTACAGCCTTGAATGTGAATAATTATTGTAAACTATATTTTACACCTTTTTCTGGCTTTATTATAAATTTTCTATTGGTCGATGATTTAATCATATCTCATAATTTAATGACTGTTTATCCTCCTCTCGACAGATCTCTGTGTTGTAGATGTGTAGCTAGTGACTGGATGATGGATTTCACTTATGCTCGGTAGTCTGTAATAAAGGCATGTAGGGTCCGGCTGGCCTCCGCCTCCTCCTTACAACGCGCCGGGGGCGTCTGCGGGGCAGAGGGGCCGCCGTCCCGTCCTCCCTCCCTGCCGGGCGAGGGCGCCGCCTGGGGCCGCTCCTGCCTCCGACAGTCCCGGGAGGGGGAAGAGGGAACGGTTCCCTGCGGGACGCTTCCGGTGGGAGGTGCGCTCGGGGACGCGTAGCCGCGGCGGACGCTTCCGGCGGCGGTGGCGGCGACGATGGCGGCGGAGAACCACTGCGATTTCCCGGTGCCCCCGCTCGGCGGCCTCAGCTTGGGCGGCCCGGGCGCGCCCTGCCGCCGCTGCAGCTCCGCGCCGCCCCCCGGCGCTGTGCCTGGCAAGTGGGTGCGACTCAATGTGGGGGGCACCTGCTTCTTGACCACTCGGCAGACGCTCTGCAGGGACCCCAAGTCCTTCCTGTTCCGACTCTGCCAGGCCGACCCCGACCTCGACTCGGACAAGGTGAGCGAGGCGCCGCGCGACGCCCCTGGGCCGGGCCGCTCGCCCTCACCGCGCTGCACCCCCTCGGCCGCGCCTGGCTCCTGACGCGAGGGCCGCGGAGAGGCAGCGGGCCCGGGCCCGCGGGAGCTCCGGCCAGTGTCGCTCCGCGGGACCCCCCAGGCTCTCGCTCGCCGCTGTTGGGGCTCTCGGAAGCAGCCTGCCTCCCTCACGGAGTCACCGTTTGCAGGGATAAGGGCTGAGCGCTTGCAGGCTGATGCGGTCCTTGAGTAACAGCCATGTTTACCTGGTTGTATCCAAGGGAGCACAGGATTGCATGTGTGCCTATTTAAAATTCCATGGTTTTCTGCCTTATGGGTGTAGCTTTTTAATGGACTGTGCTTGCACTGATATCATGCTGTTTCTGCACTGTCATCACTCTGGTTCAATTTGAATCAAGCTATTTTGCTGTCTAGGTCTTTTTGCTTGCTATTAGAGAATGCCGCGTGAAACGGAAATTCAGTATGATAGAAGAATACCTTTTGCTTGGTTTTAGTCTTCTGCTTCTCAGCAAGTTTTCAGTAGGATATTATATATGTGCTGCATGGGCTGTATCATGAGTGGTATTTGTATATTCATTGCGATTATTTTTTACTAGGAAGAGAAAGGCTATTGATTAAAATCTTATTTGTGGAGTGGTAAGTAGTAACACATATAAAATATTCAGAAAAGCAATCATGGTTGCTTAGAAAACTGGCCCTTTTCAAACATCAAATGATCTAGGCAGATAAATATGCAAAGTCATGCATCTGGCGCCAGAGAATACCAAATATACTAATAGAACAGAAGACCATTTTGACAGCACTGGCTCCAAAAGAGATTTTGGAGTATATGGGACTGAAAATTGACTTATGTTGTAGCACCCTTAGGAAGTAGAAATGAGTAGTTGTCATCCTTGAATTGTTGAACACACAAACAACATGTTAAGAATAGTTTATGATAGAGATGGATTTTATATATATATTTTTTTTTTTTTGAGAGAGAACAGTAGTAAAACTGTTCATTCTCTCCTGACTAGCTTCTAGAAAACATGTAGAAATAATTGAGAAAATGTAGAACAGTGCAGCAGAGCCTAAATAACTTCCTAGGGTTATGGGGAAAAAAGAAACCAACCAACCAACCGAAAACTTACAGTATGGCAATTTAGAGGTTGTTTTCCACTATTCTTTTTTTTTCCCTGGGGAGAATTAGTTCAGGCTAATAAAAAAAAAAATCTAGGTGCCTTTTGAGAGTCAACAACTCAAGTTTTTATTTGATTCACAATCTGCCTTCAGATTCTTTATTTTTTGAAAAGCACAAATACTAATTCAAGAAGTTCTTTTTTTTTTTTTCTCCAATATGGTTGATGTCATTTTAAGGGAAAAGAAATCCTTCCTTGACACTTTACCAGTTTATGTATGGTGTCTTGATAGAATTATATGTTAATAGATTAACTCCCTGATTTAGTTTTGAAATATCAAAGCCTTTAACTGATGGCCACAGATATCTTGAGGGAATTATTCATGATGTTTATGTTCACACCTTGGGTTCATTTTCAGTTCTCTGATCCTATATATGTAAATCCAATCCTGATAGTGGTGGATTTTTTTTTCATGTAGGTTCACATTTGGATTCTTTTATGAGCAGCAACTTGATACTAACTTGATGTACTATCTCACCACCATGTACTAAAGGCTATTCATGGTGACTGTGCTGTCAAATTATGTGCTCATAAAACAGTAGCTCTTTCAAGATGGCAGCTAGAATACTAAGATCCTGCTCTCAAATCGTGGAATGTTAGAGCTGATCTCTGACCTATGATTTGCTGTTTTTGATTCCATTGCGTTTTCCTATTAAAGATCATAAGAGTTTTAAACATCTACTTTTAAACTTGAAAATTGTCAGCGAAAATGGAGGAGGGGTGTTGCCTTTTACTATTTAAGTCAGTTAAAAAAATTGTTGAAAGTTCTAAAGTTATTCTAGCTGACAAAAGGAAGAGAGATAGATTATATATCCAAGAGTAAGAGCAAGAAGAGTCAACAATTAAATTATCTCATGCACCAGTAAACATATGTCTTTGAGGAAAAGAAGTAGTTCACATTCCTTTTTGCTTAAGAAAGTGTTTATCTCAGAAAATAAGTGAGAATATATCTATCTCAAAAATATAATTACAACAGAGCTAGTTTTACCTAAATGAGTCAAGCACATAAAAATAAGTAACAGTGGCATGTTAAGAAGTTATAAAAGAGGATAACTAGATGGGTTTATTAGGAGTGGGAACAGGAAACTGAAATATGACTCCAGTCATAGATTATGCTTTGTAAATGTCAGTGGTATATAAAATGATTTATCTCTACTGTTATTGGTACACTTTTCTTCTTGTAGTTTAGCTACATAAATCGTAATATTTATTCAGTTCTCGTTACTAAAAAGAGTTGAAAGGCGTAAAGAAAGACATCACGTTTGTATCCAGATTATCTACAGGTGTTAATGTTGAGCAAGACCACGTAGCCTGTCTTCTAGAATTAGATCTGCTTCCAGTTGCAACAGAAGAAAGGTTAATATGGGCATACCCTAGCAAATCTAGTAGTGGGTAGAATGAGGCTGTGAGGCATTGATTCTCAGAGTGCCRTGTGTTTCACAGAATTGTGTCGATCTTTGAATTTAAGAGTCAAGAACTACTCATTTTAATAAATGCGTAAGTGGTAGTGGTCATACCTACTACTTATAGTAGTGTTTGTGTTCAGTGCTTAGATCACTCTGCTTGTCTATTTTTACATGTTCATCTCTAAAACAAGTTTGTGTACTTTGAAAATAAAGTCCAATTTCTCATCCTTGTTTAACTTCTCTAATACTTGTATTGTTTGATTTACTGGTAGATAATTGCTGATTTCAGCACCTTCGTATTTTCTTTGAATACTGATTCTTGCTTTGCAGAATGTTTTATATAATTTTTAAACTTTTATGAAATAGAGGGGCTATTCTTAATAGTTTTGGCAACAGTGCTCACATTTTATTTTTTAAAGCGTTTCTAAAATTAGGGATTATACTGAGGCAGAATTATTTTAAGTATAACTAAGATAATGTTTATTTCATAAAGGGACTTCTGACTAATTGGGTGGGCATGTGTTGTGCTATAAATGCAATTTTGATCAGTAAAACAGTTGAGTAATTGTTCCAAAGCACAATTCACGTCTTTTGAGCATATTGTGTTCTGGACATCTAGCTCAAAGTAAGGTGGGATAGCCAGTGAAAAGTTGTTTCTAAATCCTGAATCAGGGTCCCAAATAAAGGTGCTAAATACTTCTGTTTTAAATRGCATATCACTACCATTAGCAGAATTTGTGCTTGCTCAATGTATATATAAATAATATCAGTTTTTAAGACATATTGGAGCAAAGCTTTGAGCAAGAACTTACCAGTTTGAATATTGAGAATATATATACAAGAAACAAGACTGAGACCATACAGATTGGTCTGGCAACTGTGAAAGTTGGGAGGTGAGATCCGAAATACCTGCTCTGTTTGTGACAAAGTGAAGATTCAAATTTGTCCAAAGCTAGTGGAATCATGCTTAATTCACTAGCAAAGAAGGTGACAAAAGTGGGACTATACAGAATTAACATTCAAGCTAGCAAGCTTAAAACTGGTTCAATTATGTCTGCACAAAGAGTAGTAACACTTTTAAACTGTCTAGGTTGCATATGAAGTATGTTTTTCTCTAATCTTAAAACTACTTTTTAGAAAGATTCTTCAGAATGTGCTTTGCACATGGGAGTATGAAAGTGTTTTCATTGCACATGGATCAAGCCAGTGCTTACCTAATATTCTGAAGGTGTGGAACAAACATCTTATGACTCATACTTTGAGAGCTCTAGGTGAGGCAAGTGACTGCAGTATTACTGGGTCTGCATTTATTGGATTTATGTTTGCGTACATTTCCCTAAAGTCTTAGTGTAAGCTGCTTTTCTTGGAGAGATTTCAAAATCAAGTACTCAGTGCACATCGAAGAATAACAAGGCAGCTCACTCTAAAGGRGGGAGAAGGTATTTTCTACAGGAAGAAGTTTAAAAAGTCAATTCTATGCCTCTCTTAGCCGTGCTTTTTTTGCGTATGGTTATGTTTATTCTTTATCAAGAAATGGTTTCCATCTTGAGTCTTGACTCTCTGGCACTAGTTTGTAGTACATGTGAGTTTGTAGGAACAAAGTCTGAACTATATATATTTTTCATTGGAAGAGTGCTTTATGAATGCATGATTTTCGTATTTGTAAGCTAAGTAAGAGGGTAGCCAGTTATTCTGAATTTTTTAGTCTCTTCGTAATTTTGCATGCAATTTCTATATTAAAGTGAATCTCTCCTATTGAGAGAATTTGAGAGAATATTGAGAGAATATTCTCTCACATTGAGAGAATTGCCTGCTCTGTGAAGTTAAACAGTTTTTAAAATTCAACCATTGATAATTATTCAAAAAAATAAGAGACAAAACCCAAAAACTCTTATGCTTTATGGTGTAATAATTATTTAAAAAAATATTAATTATTTAAAAAAATATTATTACCTTAAATAATTCATAAACTGTGACAATAATGACCTGGTATTCTATTTTATGTGGCATAATAAAAATATATTTGATAAGATGTTTGTATTTGTCTGTGTTAATACTAAGTATTTTTATAGATTCCAGATTATAGTTTGGTGAGAAAGGAAATTTCGTTAGGAAATTAATGAATATAATAGCGGAGAAGAAATGAGATGGTGGATGGTAGAATGGAGAAAAAAAAAAGTTTGTGCATGACGAGAAAAGGGTTAAAATAGCCAGAAGTTGAAAGCAATTATGTCTAATGTTTCATAGACTTGATACTACTAGTAAGTATAATCATGTTCAGTGTTAATAATGAGCTCTGTGTGCACTCGGATAATTAACCCAGGTGGTACAGATTGCTGGTGGCCCATCTTTAGGTGGGAGTTGAGAGAGAAGGCTTGACACAGATTGTTCCTTTTCTGTTTTTGAAAAGTTTTGTTGGCACCTCAGTTAATTTAGAAAAATCCACTGTGTTAAGAATAGTTTCAGATGCTATGCTTTATATGTACTAAAAAAATAAGATTTTCATGTCTTTTGTGCAAGGAGTGAAGTAGGTGTTGTCATTTGAGGTTTCACTTGCACAAAAAACCATTGAGAAGTTTATTCTACCTGTTGATCTCTAATATAAAGTCATGTAGTGCAATACCCAAGGCACTATAGCTTCATAAAGGTGATAAAACACCGTAGTGTAAGAGAACAAAATAGTTCTAGTTCAGATCACTTCTGTTTTTTCTAAGTCCATGTATTTCTTAAATTGTTTCAAGCTGTTGACCATAGTCTTTTTATCACTTACAGATCTTAATTTATAATTTCCCATTTTTTTTCCTGTGTTAAATAATGCACTTCAGTTTATGGTTTGTACAGTCGTCAGCTAATTTATTTAAAATATGTCTGAAGGTCATCTATCCTTGAAGTGTTTGGATAATGTAAATATATTTAAATATAAAGCATTTAAAAATGTGTCATTTTGTGAATGTCATCTATCGGTTTTAGTACATAGTTGCACTTCTGTGAGACTGTGAGTTTATCTCATAGAAGAAATTGTGATTGTGTCTGCTCTGAATATAGGTTAACTGACAACACATTTTTATATATTTTCTTGAATGTCTTCATAGATTAAAATAGTGAGTTTTATGTAAAATGTAGCATCCCTTCACTTAGTTTTTCTCAAACAGCACTGGGTACCTCTCTGAGAGTGTTAAACCTTTACTTTTTTTTTTCTTGTGGTAATTCTGGTTGTGATCTAGTTTTTGATAAGCCTGGTAAGAAAAAAACAGCTTTCCAGAAACTGGATCTGCACGCCTGAAATTACATCCATAGTCTTCCCGCCCCTCCTCTTCCCCCCCAAATAAAGTACGCATACTTAAGTAAGGAGAGTTTTCAGGTATCACAGTTTCAGTAATCAAATGTCTATATTATCAGCATTAACTTCCAAATGCAAGGGGTTGGGTCAGTCGTTTCTTTTTTCTTTTTTTTTTTTTTTTGTATCACATATAGCTCTAAGGGAGAATAAATCAAACTTAGCCGAATTTATTTATATTGAAGCTGCTTAATGTATCCTGTAATTTAATAGAATGTTAAAAGAAAAAAAAATCTTTGCAGGTGCTGCCACAGCAGTATAGTATTTATTTGTAGGGTATCTATTACAGTGAAACTGTAGGAACTAAAGGATTAATGCTATTAGTGATCTACTTGATCGTAGGAAGGACTCATGGGTTTGTTAGACATCTGCATTAACAATCACCTTTCTTAAATTCTGGTCAACACAAGATATACCAGTGTTGCCTTGATCATGCTTGCTCATACTTAATCTTCAAATTATATAGGAAGTTATATAGATTATATATAGAGATATATTATTTATATATAGAGAAGTTATATATATATATAGAGAGAGAGAAGAGATATATATATATATACAGAGAGAAGTTATATATAGAGAGAGAAGTTTTGCTTCTCTATCTTCTTGTCAGTAATGTCAGGTAGTAGTAGAACTTCTTGAACTGTGTTCTGCGTTCTGCAGAATGGTATATTACATTCCGTAAACTGAGGATCCAGTTCCAGTTTGATCTATTCTTCATTTGGTTGTATGAGGTAGAAATTGCAGCTCTTATTTATTTACTTAGAAAATGAATCTAGAGCCACTGTTTAGTATACAGCTATTCTCAGCACCTTTTTAGTATTTGTATTTCTGAAATAAGATAGAAGCAAAAAAAATAGAACAAAATGTTGAATTTAAAAAGAAAAGGTAGGTTTGTTTGGTTTTAATTTAAAAAAAAAAAAAAAAAGGACAGCCTCTGAACCTCATTGGAATATCTTTGTTCTGACTTTGTTCTGTTCAGCTCTCCAAACAAAATGATAGTTCCTTGCTTTTGTGTATTGCTTTTAAGCCTAATTCTCAGTGTTCTCATTTACTGCTTAAATCTTTCATACTAACAAGAGTTGGGTGTTTTAATAAGAGATCTTATCTCTATTCCTTTTTGTGCTCTTGGTCATGCTCATTCTCTTGATAGGAGGTTATTGATCAGGTGGAAGTTGTCCAGCATGTGATAAGTTCTTTCAGTGACCGGTTTGATATATAGTTTGTTGAATGATTTAAATTTGATTTTAAGTATTGTTCTTGTATCTGAACGCCTTCTTGGGCATTCCAGTCATTATGCTTTTCTGGCTGTGTTTGTGTATGTTTTCTGTGTGTGTTTGGGTTTTTTTTGTTTGTTTTGTTTGTTTTTATTTTAATATAGGATGAAACAGGCGCCTATTTAATAGACAGAGACCCAACCTACTTTGGGCCAGTGCTGAATTATCTCAGACATGGGAAACTGGTTATTAACAAGGACCTAGCTGAGGAAGGTAGGACAATATTAATTCTCTTGCCTTTCCCCCCCACCTCCCATAAAACTTTTAACCCTTAAAACCCTTTAACACTCTTTCATTCTCATGATTTTGCAAGTCAAAAAAAAAAAAAAAAAAAAAAAAACCCAAAAACGAATAACAACTCATCTGTTGATTAATCTTATTCTGTTTAGCATTTCAGTCAATTTCAGGGTGAGATAATTGGTATGGTATAGTTCTACTGTATACTGTTACTTGAAGGTTTTGAGTATGAATTTGATTTTGAAAGCACAGGCACAGCCCCTAATTAGAAACAAAGCATATTCAGCCATTTGGGCAGATGCTTTATATAATCTTGCAGCTTTCCTATGCGACTCTGTGAAATAGTTGCTTTCAGTCCTCTTCAAGCAAAAGAATGCTGGCTGGGAAACAAGTTTTAGAAGATGTAAAGCAAAATAAGAGATGTTCAAATGTGTGAAATATGCTGTCAAGAGAGTAAATTCTTCCTCTAGCATTTTCCTGCCTGAATCCAGTGCATCAGTTTTACTCTAATGAAGACTCCTAAAACATGTAGTAGTAAACTTTGTGTTGGTAAGATATTGAAGAAATTAATCAAAGAAAACTATAGTCTAACAATATTAGCAATCAGTAGCCAGAAATATAGTTTGAATATGCATTGCTCAACACATAGTATGTGGACAAGGTGGACAGATAAGACTTGAACATGGAAGTTCGTGCAGGCTGTAGTGTACTGCAGCAGTTGGAATGTTTTGGGATGATTTTCAAAGTGTAAGATCTCAAATTACAGCTATGAAGAAAAATGTTTTGCATGTTGGCTGTTGCAGAGCTATTCAGTAGGAGTATTTGAATTTTTCTTTGTCGTTTCCACCTGAGACGGGACCTGAACTATGATGGTCTGTCAGGCTGCTATGCAATGGTATTTCTGCTCCTTTTTGCTCTTTCTTTCTTGACTCTAATGCTGTATGTGAAATGGTATCAGTTTTATTCAGACTTTTCCTAGAACAGTTCTTCAGAATGATCTAAATCTTGAAATATGTGGATCTGAAGCTAGCTTGTAGGGCAAAATAAATCATTTCCTACCCCTGTAGTGATTTGGGGAACAGGTTGGTGTTTTTGGCCTGGTACCTTTGTTTACACTTGCTTCTCAAAAAATGTTCTCATACTAGGTGTACTGGAAGAGGCTGAATTTTACAATATCACATCACTAATAAAACTGGTAAAGGACAAAATAAGAGAAAGAGACAGCAAAATCTCACAGGTGAGGTTGTTTTCTACTGTGCTTCTGATTATTTGTTGTATAAGAAGTAGTGGGTGAGTTCAGTGGCGAGTTAAATGCTCAGAAAAGAGCATTTAACTGCTCTTTTCCCTAGTAAGACATTGGATGGCTCTCTCCTTCATAAACTGAGCTGGAACCTTTATTACACAAAGATTGATGGTTTTAACCTTCAGTATCTGGCAGCCTGTAGGGGATAAGCCCTAGTTCTTCAAAATCTGAAAACATTCTAAAGAGTTGTTCAGAAATGTCTAATACTGTTGGAATTTGTCATAGTATTATTTCTGGAAGTAGTCATTTTAGAAAACAGCTTGAGTAGCATGTATTTTTCTCATATACCTTTAAATAGTCTGAATATGGAAAGATTGGCTAGCTATAGCATAACTACTGTCTCTGAAATCTTACCCAGAGTTGAAATTGATAAATTCAGCAGTTGGAGCATTATTACCTAAAATAAACTGTTCTCTAGCAGGAAGAATTATTTGATGTGTGCCTTATTCAAGCAGCTTCCCAAGGGAAGTAGGTACATCCTAAAGCATTAGGCTGCAATTAAGTTGGGAACAATTTAAAAGTTAAAACATTGTTATATATGCTGCAGCGGCCCAAGATTTTATCCTTTCATCTTCAAGTCTCTGTTGATAGTGTATGTACAAATCACTCTTCTAATACACTTTATTGTGTACTTCTTTTTGTAGCTCATGTTGCATGCTTTTGTAGTAAAGTTATTTTTTATTTGTAATGATCGATAGTTGAGAAGACTCAGCCTCAATTCAGCTCATGAATATTTCTTTGTAATAATAAAGTGAATATAACAGAGAAACAGCTTATCAAGATAGGTGGCCAAGTTTTTGATGGTTCTTTAACTCTGCTACTTTGACCTTCTCTAGTTACTGGGTCCTAATGAAGATACTACAAACTGTTATTACTGCCAAATTTCTCTTGAGTCTGTGTCATGGGATTATGCTAAGTTGCTCTTAGCATTTTCTAAAAGCTGACATAGTTCTACTTAAACATTGCTTTATAGTGGAAGTTTTGAAAAGGAATAAAAGAGTTTTTAGAAAAGGGTCAGGCAGTCCGTAAAATTGTAAAACTTGGTAAACTAGGCCTCTGCTAAATAGTTTTGATGCCTATGTTAATAATGTGGTTTGCTATTTTGCAGACACTATGTCTAAACTTTCTGGAACATGATAGGAAGGTCAGCTCTTTGTGGATAGGTGTTAAGATTATTATGTTATTACTGATGAGTATATTTATTGTGGGTACCAAAATATTTGTGTAGCTTAGCTGTTTACATCTCTGAAACATTAATGTAGCATTACTGCTTGTGAATCTTTTGTAATGCTATTCTGAACAGATCACATTTCCACAAGTTCTAGTGATAACCAGCTGCAGCTTACTTGAAGATACCTACAGATTCTTTGTAATATTCTGAACTCAGAATTAAGAAAGAAATTGTGGGCCTAAAACATATTGCTTGCATAACTGAGGAATAAGCGGTCATTGATCTTGTGTTGTTCAAGATGTTGTTGCTTATAATTTCTGTAGAGTGAGGGAGATTTCAGACAAGTTACAAAAATGATGAATTCTGTGCTGTATTGAGCATCTTATATTTCTTTCTGAAGGTGCCGGTCAAGCATGTGTACAGGGTGCTGCAGTGCCAGGAGGAGGAACTCACTCAAATGGTCTCCACAATGTCTGATGGCTGGAAATTTGAACAGGTAACAAAACATACAGGGTATAATTATGAAGTCTTCCAAAATGCAGTTATGATTGGAAAGAGGAGTAGAAAGTAAAATTTGTTCTTTTTAAGTGCAATTATTATCAGAAACTTGACAGATAAAAAGATACATACTTAAAATCTGCAATCTGTATGTTTATTTGTTAGAAGACACAAGATCTGTAGATTTCCTGGAGTGTTACTGGGATGATTTTCTATAAAAACATCTAAAAACATCTAAGGATCTCATTTCTAATGTTTCTAAAATTAAATGTTTCTAAAAACATTTCTAACGATTTACAAGGGAACATTTGAAAGCTGAATAAACCAAAGGGCTGGACCCTCCTGTTATGAGTTCTAATGGTAGGTCAGATATAAAGACCTTCTGTAAAAAGAGGATCTTGGGAGATAAACATGTTTTAGGCCCAAACAATGACTCTTCAGGAAAATGACTGATACCCATCAGATGGAGTAATTAGTGCAACTGTGAAGCTGGATGGCTGTGAGCTATGTGAATGTTTCCCTTCTCTGCACTGCATAAATATATGTTTGTATATTAAAGATTAAATCGTAAGAATAATTTATAGTTTCTGTTATTATCTCTGATAAACACTATAAATAAGAAACTAGCTACATCGCATAATTGCCCTTCATGATCGTAACCTACCAGATTATCTAAATTGCATTGAAACAATGAATCTGTTAACTCTGAAGTGAGACACAAGTGTTCAACAAATGATGTTCTCAWTGTCTAGTCCATCTCTAGTAGGAGAGACTGGAATAAACACAAGCCTTATCCTGTGCACTCGTCTCCCAGCAAAATCACAAAGTGATACTAAAAAAAATAGCACAAAGATGTATGAGAGCATTCTATTTTTTTTAGTGGAATGTGTAAGGGACTCATGTAATAGAAAAGGCCATGATCAAATCAATTACCCCAGTACATGGAAAACTTCTTATGCTTCAGTTCTCTGCCTCAAGTATTAAAGATGTTTGGCATGCTAGAGCTGAATATTGCTTAGGTCGCTGAGAAAAAGCGCTGACTTAATTCACGTAACTGTTTTTTGACCAGTGCTAATGACAAAGTTTCCTGGACCTTTCTTACTCGTGAGAAATCAGCTTTTATTGCAAATGGAGATTCTTCACTTATTAACTTATTAGATAGTACTGTAATTTTTACCTGTCCTGAAATTTTGTATTTTGAAGGAATACTGTATTTGGGAGTAATATTGCTTTGACAATGCAACTGCAGAAAGAACTATTACAATCCCTTGTAGAATTTGCATTTTGGGAAAATTCCTTTTTTAAAAATTTTTTAAAACTATTTCCCTCTTTCATCTAGCTTTCTCCCTGCTTACTCTTCCCTACATTGTTCTCACTTGGGCATATAGTTTGAGGTTGATAAACACAACAGATATATGGTCCCTTATTATTCAACTTCATTACCTCAGCCTATGTCATTCTCTGCTTTGATTGTATAGCAAACTGGCTTTTAGAAGATATCATTCACTTGCAACATGATTGTAATGTTTGTTATCATCCAGACAGATTTATTATAAAGATTTGAGAACCGTGGCATTTCTGTCATGCTTTCTTTTTTTTCCTTTTTTTTTTTCTTTTCCCCTAAGTAGATCTTTCTTAATAAGCAGAGTGATCCAGAAATAATCTCTGTGATGGCTTCTACCATGCAGTGGTATATATCACTGGTGGGACAGATACTGCCTATTTTCTCAGAGAATACCATTTCTGTGATTTGAGAGTCCTTGTGGTCTGTACCCCACATAGCATGTTTCAGTGGTTGATTCTGATTAAAAATGTTTCTTTCCCTTAGAACAATTAAAATTTTTTCTCTTAAAATGCAATTATGAGAATTAAACAAGAACGTGTTAAACTTTTGATACCCTAGTAAGGATATGTACTTTTGCAGAGAAGATAAATGAGTGAAAGTACTGCTAGCAAAGTATATATCAAAGCAAATTATATATCAGTTCCAGTCAAAAAAATTCACCTGAAGAAGTGTTCTCCGTTAGAACAAAGTGCTTAAAAGTGGCTATACTGCCCCCCCCCYTTTTTTTTTTTAATTTCACAGGATTATTCTGCAGATGATTTTACCTGTAATTGTTACCTCCTCAGGAAAATCAGAAATAATAATTTTGTCATTACTGCATAATAAGAAACTGTGGATTTTACATTTACAGAATTTCTACATGCAGAGGTTTTAGACAGGCTTGTCATGTAAGGTAATGTGAACTTGATGATTAATGTAGCTTGAGTCTGGCACTGCAATGCTGTCTTAAAAAGATTTAGTACCTGAGGAGGACAGTATTTAGCTACTCCCTTCAAAATTATCCATGTAACAGTAACAGAATATAAATAACTTTACTGATCATGAGCCTTTTCATCATCACTAATGTAAAGTGTACTCTATTTAGCCATTTGTTGTCTAGTTGAAAATTGATCTTAAGTGCACTGGCAGGCTGTGCTTTAATTTGGGTTAGACGGTGCAATGTATTATTAAAATAAAATACTTTTTGTAATGAGAAGATAATAAATTTAACTAAGATTGTTCTGAACTTCTAGATTATTAGTTTTTTGGCAGTTATGAACGAATTTCTTGATGCTGACTTTCATGAAAACAAGACAGATAATGTTTTACACTAAAGATCTTGTCTTGGTTCTTCTGTAAATTATCCCTTTTAAAAACAGTTTATAAACTCTCAACTTTTTCTTGTAACTGACTGTATGTTTCCATAGCTATATTTTCTTTACCAACATCTGGAGCAAGACAAGGTTCTTCCATACCTAGACTGGATTCAGTGCGTTATGGCCTTGTATCTACATGTTATCTTCCCCAATTGGTGTGTAAGATAGGAAAATAGTGCTCTCACTTTCATAATTTTGTTTGGATTTTTTTCAGAATAGTTGGCAATTTTATAATGGCATTGGAAATTTTCTAATTTACTATCAGTAACTGTGACTTGCCCTGAAGTTACAAAGGGCTTTGCAACTGCCTCCATAAAATTAAAATATATCGGGATTAAAGTTGTAGCTTGATAGCAATCTGTTCTAGTGGCAAGTAAGTGTTACCTGAACATTTGAGTTCATTTGTTATTTGTACTATGTGGGTAATGGTTCTGTGCCTCAGCTTTACAAAGGTTTCTTTTTGTGTTTTGCTCTGATTGGTTATTCCAGCTTGTCAGTATAGGTTCCCAGTATGGCTGTGGTCGGGCCCAGCAGGCAGAGTATCTGCTGATAGTGTCACGGGAAGTGAAAGGGGAAGAGAGATGCTTCCAGAAATGCTGCAGTGAGGTGTGTCACACTGTTCTTTTTGCCCTCACACCAATATGCTTGGCCTCCTTGCATTTCTGCTGCTTTCAAATCATTCCACTATATTTCTGGGTGTACAGCACATAGTAGCTTGTGTGTATTTGTGACTGGCTTTTATTTATTTTCRTAGTATTTCATTACTCATCATAAATGTTCATATTGTTAAAAAACATCCTAGTTACTTGAACTCATGAGTCAATGATTTTTCTTAAGAAGAATGCTTGTCTTCTTACATTTTCCTCCAAAGTTAAGAGCCTTTGATCCATACTTGTGTAAAAAATGTACAACTTAAACATCAGGAGCTGTACAAATACAGCTCTGAGCTCACTGAATTCAGGAAAAAAAGAAAAAAGAAGAAAAAAAAAGACATTTGAGGTATTTGTTATTGTAGTTTGAGTATGTTTCATACATCTAATAACCGAGTGAGTTTTGACTAAGTTCTCTATTTTTGAAAAGGCAGAGGAGGGAGAGGAGAACAAAAACAGTAGTTTGTTTTAAAACCCTTATCAAGAGGAGGAAATATACTCTTCTTTTCCTTGGGAAACTTTCTTTAAATCTTAATGGAGAATAGTAAGCTCATCCACTTGTTCTTTAGGCTGTCTCATCTTTTCTGCTCCCCTCACTACCAAGTTGTTGCTTTTTAAATTTCTGTGTTACTTCCCAGGGAGGATTGCTTTTGCTAAGCAGTGACGCTGAAAGTAGTACCCATTTCTTTACCTTACTGTGCTTCATTTTGAAGTTTCTTATGTGCATCTATTTGGGAACCTGATGTTTTTTAGTATTTTTTCACTAGTAAAATACTCAGAGAAAACTTGTTATTTTCTTTGCTACATGTTTTTCAGTCTGAGAAGCTAGTGAAACATCATTAAGATAACATGTCAGTAATATGGCTATATGAGCAGAAACATGCCTGTTTACGTGGTCACTAAGTTATGCAATTCTAAATTTTAAACCTAAACTGCTGCCTAAGTATATTCTGAAATCTCCTTCCAAGGCACTAAAGAGTCTCTGTTTCTTGCAGTTGTATAGGTAACGTTTGGAATGTGGAGTTAATGCAATGTTTTTGTCGGCTTCTTGGAACTAAGAAGAGTACCTGGGCTATTGCTAAAGATGCCTAAGTTACGGGCCCCATGATGTTGTCCTAGAGAGCATGAAGTAAAATTCTAAGTAATAAAATGGGAGATTGGGGAAAGCAGTGAAAAAAAAATGAAGCCATTATAAAATCTGTAAGATTCTGGAAGGAAATAAACTTTTATTCCTCTTACAGTTGAGGTCTGACAGTTGGTAAACTTCATCATTAAGAGTCTTGAAATCAATGTGCTTGCAGTCCCCAGTCAGTCATCAATGCTAAGTTTAAAAGCTGATGTGTACATTAATAGCTTTTTGCAAACCCTTTGAAAAGGCAGTGGAATGAACACAACATAGCTCTAAGGAGTGGAGCTTGTTCTTATGTAATACAACTTGATCTAGTGRAAAAAAAAAAAGAGAGAACTAATTTCTTTCATTCCGTCAACTGTTATTAGTATAATAAAAAAAAATGAGCAGTTAAATATACAAGCAGTTTTCCCTGTCTGAAATAAAAGCAGTAATAGTCTGAGCTAAATAGAAATGAAAATAAAATAGAGTTTTTCTGGGTTTGAGAATCAGACCATCACAGAAAGGAGGAAATTAGTAGTCTCAAAGTAGAAAGGATAGTTAATGTAAGTAACTCCTGTGGTAATAAGACAAAGGCAGGTAGGAAACACATTTTTTGTAAAAGTTGGAGTGTTTTCTGTGATCACAGTAGTGTTACTAATATTGTCCAGTAAATATGCCATATAGATTCTAGACAAAAATCACTGTACTGATATCATAATTCTGTACAGAAAAAGATATTATATGTACTGGCTTTGAAACCTAGCTCTGGCATTCAAGCAGGCATGAGATTTGCTCACTTCGAAAGTTAGGTGAGACACCAACAATTTTGTCCAAGTATAGCCTGCTCATAAGGATTTTTTTGGTGTGCAGTCACTGATTTAAGACTGGAGGAGATTTATATATTCTGCTGCCATTGAATAACAATGCAGGATTGATTTACTTGTAGATGAATTGCTCTGTCAAGCTATACCAATTTTATCTGCTTTTCTTAAATTTTAAAAGAGGCATTTTTTTTTCTTACAGACTCAGGAAATATTCTTCAGAAATTCCTGCATTATTGTATCCCAAAGCATTACTAACTGTTCAATTTCTTGAAAACAAGCCTGACCATATCTAGGCATAAGGTGGTCTCTGTCCACCATTACCTAGGCCATTTTTTTTCTTTTAACCTCTCTGATGACTATCTTTTATCTTACTTTAAAATTCAAGCTTTTAGGGACAGGAGCTTTCCGCTTCTTGTTTCTGTCCTCAGTGTAATGCAAATAACTCTATTTCTGTTAATTAAAAAAAATGTTTAAATGCTTTCCATCACTGCCTTTGTGAGTTGCAGCTGTCAGACTACTAGTGTCAGCAACCTTATTCTACACAAACAATGAATAGATCTCCGTCAAGTGAATTTTCTGTGGTATTTAATACAACTATGCTCAGTTATAGACCCTACTGGAGCTCACAGGGGCCTCAAGCAGGATCACAATGTGTTAGTAAAAAGTATAATGAAACATCATAGACATTAAAAGAGAAAAATACATATAAATAGCATCCAAATCCATTTTGTTTCCTCCTCCTTAAATTCTTGGTTATTACAGCTTTGCTGCCTAGGACCTGTGAGCCAGAAAAGGCTCGTACTTTCCAAAAATTTGAGACAGTGGGCTGGACAATTTGAAAGCCTCTTGCTATTCATTGTAATGCACGCTTAACATACCAACCTCAGATTACTCTGATTTATTGTTGTTTTTTAATTAATTTACAACTCATTTCTCAGCATCCTTTTGAAAGCATACTTACCAATACTAGGAATGCCTAGATAACTTTTGGAATATCAATGCRTAATATTGCTTTATTTCTAATTGTATTTTCTGGCACTACAATTCCGTTCTAATTTGCAGCCATTTTCCATTGCTTCTTTTCTGCCTTCCCCTTTCTGCCACTGATGCATCTCAAGGAATTACAACAGTTTCAAGCATACTATCGGCACTACACAAGTAATACATTCTCAATTGTAGGTGTATGGAATTGTTTATGACAGGATAGTGCAACTGAACTTTGMATAAGTAGTACTTAACATTGCAAAGGAAACTATTTGGAAATGCACCAACTGATTAATAATATCAAAAAAAAAGTTTTCTAGACTTACCACGGCCAGGAAAATTAATAGTTTTTATTCTGCTAGCTAGCAGCCTATGGTTTAGCTAATAGTCTACCATGCTTCCTAAAAAGAATCATGTCCAAAATGTCAACTAAAACATGAATGGGGGATTTTAAGTAGCTATCTACTCAATACATTTCCTTTTTAAAACCAGGATTCATGATTTGACTGATAATAAGGCTTATATTGCATCTGTTTTTGGAGAGATCATGTATTTATGTTGAGTGTCAGTGAGTGAAGTCAAGTTTTTCGTCCTGGTAGTATAATTACTACAGTTGTTACCATAGTTTATCTGCTGTCCAATTCTTGCAATTTTACAAGACGGTCACTGTTTACTAAGTTAAATCATATACTCGAATTTTTCAGAATTTCAGAATTTCAGAATATTTAAGGTTGGAAGGGACCTCTACAGACCATCTAGTCCAACCTTCCTGCTCCAGCACGGACACCTAGAGCATGTGGCACAGGGTGGCATCCAGGCGGGTTTTGAAGACCTCCAGAGTAGGAGACTCCACAACCTCCCTGGGCAGCCTGTTCCAGGGCTCTGGCACCCTCACAGTGGAGAAGTTTTTCCTCACCTGGAGACGGAACTTCTTATGCTTCAGTTTGTGGCCATTACCCCTCGTCCTATCGCTGGCCACCAGTGAGAACAGCCTGTCCCCTTCCTCCCTGCATTCTCCCTTCCTGAACTTATACATATTAATCATATCCCCTCTGAGCCGTCTCTTCTCCAGAGAAAAAAGGCCCAGCTCACTCRGCCTCTCTTCATACGAGAGATGTTCCATTCCCTTAATCATCCTGGTTGCCCTTCTCTGGACCCTCTCCAGAAGCTCCACGTCCTTCCTATACTGGGGAGCCCAGAACTGAACACAGTACTCCAGGTGCGGCCTCACCAGAGCTGAGTAGAGGGGCAGAAYCACCTCCCTTGACCTGCTGGCAACGCTCCTCCTGATGCAGGCCAGGATSCCATTGGCCTTCTTGGCCACGAGGGCACACTGCTCACTCATGGTTAACTTAGTGTCAACCAGGACTCCCAGGTCCCTCTCCGTGGAGGTGCTTTCCAGCAGGTCCACCCCTAATCTGTGCTGATGCCTGGGGTTATTCCTCCCCAGGTGCAGGACCCTGCACTTGTCCTTATTGAACCTCATGAGGTTCCTCTCTGCCCAACTCWCCAGCCTGTCCAGGTCCCTCTGGATGGCAGCACAGCCCTCCGGAGTGTCGGCCACTCCACCCAGCTTGGTGTCATCCGCAAACTTGCTCAGGGTGCATTCCGTGCCCTCGTCCAGGTCATTGATAAACAAGTTGAACAGCACTGGGCCCAGTACTGACCCCTGGGGGACACCACTGGCTACAGGCCTCCAACTGGACTCGGCCCCATTTATGACCACCCTCTGAGCTCTGCCATCCAGCCAGCCCTCGATCCACCGCACCGTGCACTCGTCTAGCCCACTCTCCCGGAGCTTCCGTATGAGGAAACTTTTTTCAAGTTTCTCTTAGGAGAAGATAAATTTTGGGGGTATGTTTAAATATCTATCCATCTTTTTTTATTATTATTTTGATTCTTAAATGAGTTAAAAATACCATTTAAAATATTCCTTACATTTCACCTTGAGAATTTAACTAGTTATTGTATTCGTATTGTATAGTTAGTAATTGCTATATAATGCAGACATATAGCAATATATTTGTATATTACTAAATCTAAATCTTGTGCTGCTTTAACAGGCTTAGAGCTAATATAGCAGGGTTTTTTTCCCCTGAAAATTTGTGTACAATACTTTTTGCTGATAGGGAAGAGAATCAACAAATCACCTCTGTAAATAAAATAATTCTGGAATGGCTTCTCACACATGGTAAGCTTTCTTAGTCCATTTTGTGCAACTAAGCAACTGTATTATTTTATGGGGTTTGTGATTTTGTATCAGACAAATACATTGTGTTGGAGACTGCAAAGTGTTTAGGTTTCCTCCAACAGCTCTTTCTCCTCCTTAACAAGAGAGGCCTTGCAAATAACATTTCTTTAGCTCTGAGCAGGATACAGTAGAAGTGGAGGCTGGGCAGTGAAGAGAAGACTTAAGCCTCATATGGAGGATAGTGTTAAGATCATCATGTCCAAAAATGTTGACATTGCCTAGAACTGCCATCAAGTTGGTTCATTGTGTAGGCATAGTGCCTGTTGCATAGTGCCTGTTGCTCTGTACATGTGGTTTGATCCATCTGTTGAGATGCTTGTGAGGCTGTCCTAGTATAATATTGTATCTGAGCAGCTCTGTTCTATATCTCCCCTTAAAAGAATAGTGAGACTTTGTTCTCTAATGACAGTGCTTCATGGAAGCTGCTTTTAACCTTAGTTTACAGTCTGTTTTTGTTGGAAAAATAGTCTTCTCCCTCAAGTATGCATCTTATAGCTACACCTCCTGTTTTAACAAGTCTTTTACTCTCTTTGTTGCTCTGTAAGGCTAATGTAAGTACTTAGTTTGCTTATAGACAGAGAATCATAGACTGCTTTGAGTGCTGTTGTCCTACAAAAACAAATTGAGCTTTTCCTATGGGCCTATAATCAGAGCACAGTATTAGAATAATTTTTGACTGATTAGTGATCTGGATTTTGGACTAATAACTTCTGTCATATAAGTGTTGAAAATTAGTATATGGACTGAAGAATGGGTAATAGAAAAGCCTTAAGTGTCTGTAGTGGCTTGTTAGGTAGATTTAGTATCGATGTGGTAATGACATTTAGATGCACTGTCTGTGCAACAGGTTGACATTTAGGTTACTGATTTGGATCAATAATTACAATACTGCAGATAATCTTGTTATGCTTTTGAAATAAACATTTACAAAACTAAGGTAGCTACATCTGAATTGATACTGTCTGAAAAAGGCAGGCTATGTAAAACTAGAATTAGGCAAGTGTACTGTGTGTAAGGTAAGAAAAGTTACATAAAACTACCAGTTGATAAATATGATACATGTGCAATAATACTGATATTGAGCATATACTTCTTTCTTTGTAAACTGTCATCATTCAGTATTGAGACTTCCAGAAGCTTGTAAAAAGTCACATTTCATTATACATGGCTTCTGCTTGAAATGCTTCTTTAACTAACTTCCCCATAGGAGTACACATGAATTTCCAGTGTTAATGTCCCAGCATGCTGTGTCTTGCTGTTTTCCAGTCAAATGCAGATTTCAGCTTTGTCCCCTCAAAATATATTCTAACAGAAAGATCATCATTCTGGAAGTGAAGCGGTAGGTGTCTCTTTAGGCTCGAGTTCTTCCTGCATGCAGCCATTTACATGTTAAATCACACCATATCGAGACACCTCATACAGACCTTTTGAATATTAACTTTGGAGGACAGGGAGGTTTCTAAGAAGTAGCAGGACACAGGCTGCTTCTCCATTGGCCTCTGTAGCCTTTTCTTTGATGGTGCAATCATAAACTTAAATGATTCAATTTGTAAATATTTAAAAAGAAAAGCTATATCTATCTTAGCATTAGAATGTCAATGTATTTGTCAATATTAAAATGTACTGAAGTGGAGAATTGTGTGGAGAATTCAGGCACAGCAGTCTGAAGAATGAGGTGTGTTTGTGTTAATGAGCATAATTGATAGAAATTATTCTATGTGGAAATACAATTGAATTTTTTTCTTCTTTCAGCTGGTTAGTATTGGTTCTTCCTATAACTATGGCAATGAAGATCAGGCTGAATTTCTGTGTGTTGTCTCAAAAGAATTGCATAACACTCCCTATGGCACAACCAGTGAACCCAGTGAAAAAGCAAAGGTAAGTTACTCTACAATGGAATAATCAATGATAAATGATTAAAGCAGGTGGACTTGGCTAAGTCATGCTAGGCCTACCTGTATTCTGAACCATTAATTGCCTTCATCTTCTTCCCCTCAAGGAATAATGGTTCCTTGTTCATTGTACAGAAGAATATAAATGGTACAGTCAGCACACGTTGGTTGTAAATATAAAATGAGTGCTTTAAATGGACTACTCTGTACTGTTGCTGATATCTGTCATGTTCTTTGAGTAGTGGTAAACATTTGCTATTTCCATTTGAGAATTTACCTTTCATTTCTCCCACATTTGAGAGATTTCTCATTCTGCCACCTAAACAGTTCAAATCCGTTTCTCTTGCTTGAGCTCAACTGAAGAATTTTCCCTATCAAGAATGTGAATGTAATATGCTTCTTCTAAAAAATACAGTCTTCTGCAATAATTTATAAGATACGTTCCTCTTTAATGAAGATATTTGCTTGCTATTTTCAGGTTTCCACTTAGTTCTCTCTTCTTTCTGTAACCAGCTTTACAAAGACATTGTAATGGATGCAGTATCTCAGCAGTTTCATCATTCATCTTTCAGCRTTTCTAAAGGAAAAGATTAAAAGAAAATAGACACAACTGAACTGTAGTGTTTGCCTAGTTTTGTATATAATGAATTATACTCTTCTCTTCCATATGTATCAAATGGTTCCTATTATGATACTGTTGCCTTATGCGAGGAGATGGTTACAGATAAATTGGCTACTTCTGTAGTTGCCTTAGAAGCTTTTAAATTTTTATGTTCAAATGGGAAACAACTAGTTGAACATATAAAAGGTTGCATTTTCAAAAATCACCTTCTAAGAAATAAATCTTGAGGTTCAAGAGACAAATAATGTTAAAATGTGATCTGAGTCTTGTTATTGGTGCCCCCAGTGTACTCTAACACTTCACTACTTTTTGTGCTTTTAACTTGATCATGTTGCTCTCTTGAAAATGATACTATAAAAATACACATAGGATTTTTAGTGAAATAATCATTTTCTGATATTTTGTCATAGTTGAGATAAAATTTCAAAGAATTACAAAAGATTATTCAAGAGTAAACAGTGAACCTGGGCTATGGTGCTTTTTTTTTTTTTTCCCCACCTTAACATCCTGAGCAAGGTCTGCCTTTGCTACAGTGCTTCAAGAAAACTAATAAGTTGACAAGTTAGACATGTATGGTAATAGTTAATGGCTAGGATATATACCTGAAATAAAAAATAGAATTCTTGAATGTAGTGTACATCTTCATAAGAAGTTATTGTAATCTTTGGCGGGAAAGCACTTGAGTACTTTCCAGAGCTGTACTGTATCCTTAAATTCGTAGAAAATGTGAAGAAAATAAAATGGTTAAAGGGTGAACAAAAAAGCTAGGCCAGAGTGAAGTATGACTCCTGTACATGCAGTAGCTCTGAGATAAACTAAATCTTAGACCTTCTTGATCATCATTTCAGAGAAGGTGACAGCACTTTTTGACCAGGGTGGAGTAAGAATTAGTGTTAATCTTTAGTGGCAGGTATAAGTACCCTAGGATACTTGAGCTGTTGCTAGTAATTAATGGCAATAAGCATTTTCCTGTCTACTGGAGACTTGTATAATTAGTAATTGAAGCTGCATTTCACTCTGTAAGGCAGAAGGAGTTGCACTGCTGCTCTCTCAGCAGAGGTGATAAATGAAGTAGTGGTATATTGAAAGGTCAAATTTAGCTGGAACTGTGTCTGGTATTAGTATAAACTGTTTCTTTACAAGCAGCCTGTTAGCTGTAAAATGAAGTGTTTGTTTTTTGAAGAGAAATACCTGGAGGTTGTATTTCAAGGGCAGGCAGGGAGGGGGAGAGAGAGAGAGAGAGAGCGAGCGGCAGAAAGGATGCTCATGTGAGAACAAAAGTGCTGAAAGGGTTGCATGTCTACGAAGTTTAAGAAACTGCATTAGCTGTCAGAGAGTCACCTTAGAAAGCAAATGGATTAAATTATCCCCAGACAGTGACTGGTTATATACCATTTGGAAGTATAATATTTTGAATTTCTTTAACAGTGAGGATAACACCAAAACATAGGAATTAATTATAATAACAAACAAAAAAAAATCTTATTTGAATCTCGTGTGTAAATTTGTGTTAATGTGTAATGTTAATGTGCTAATATATGTTATTGTGCCTATTTGCCCATCACCTGCATTATGAGAGAGAATGTCTTAAAGGGATGCTCTGAAGAAGAGTTGGGAACACTTGAAGAATCATTTTTGATGTATTATGTTTTTAACAGTTCCTTTATATATCTTGCCTTACAGGGAAAAATACAAACCAAACAGAAAACCACGACCCATTTTTGGTTTTTAGTCCTTTATGACTGGAAAGTTCATTACACCTGTGATCAGGAATCTTGACTGATCCTTTAGAGCAGCTGTCTCAGTAGTTTCCTGCTTAACTAGCTTTAATCCTGCAATCTGTAATCTGTTTACTAGTTTCTGAATTGGTCCTAAGGAACATCATGTGATTAAAATTGAAATGTCTCATTAAAATTATGTACTAACCCACTCTACTGCAAAAATAATAGTTAGTGAGACTTTGCCATGGCTTCTGAAATCATTCCTATTATGAGAAAACAATTTTTTGTATATCACTAGATACTGGTATTTCAATTAATACTACTAGACTTTCAAAACAGGAAAAAGCATTTTCTGAGCAGACCATCTAATGAAACTTTGCCTTTGTTCCTTCCAAGAGATTTTSTTCCTTTTTTGCCTGTGTAGGTTAGCATAGGGAAATGGTAACAAAACTTCGAAACATGGGCTGCCTGGGTAATCAGAGTCCGTGGTGCATTTGTGCAGTCTTTAATGTCTCTCAAACCTGTGCACTACTTAACTGTACTATACATTGGTGAAYGTATAGTCCCTTCTTGAAGATCCAGAAGGAAATTAACCCCTCTGTGACATTGATTTAAAGCATTTCAATGGTTTCTACTAGTAGCAATGATACCTCAGAAGGACAATCTGTTGCCAAGTGCATTATTTTCTTTCATCCTACTTTATTGACTTACAACTCTTGGGAAGAATGACAAAGGCCAATTTGTAGTTCCTTCATCCATAGTTCAGTTCTCGAGTGCTATCCTTCCACATGTGTGGAGAATAAACACAGTTAAGGTGATAGATTTACAGTTACGTTTAAATTGTCTATATGAACCCTGTGTTATGTTATTTGACACTATCAACTTTTATCTACTGATTTAGGATGTTTTGAAATGGAAAATTTCATGCATTTTATAATGTTCCCGCTTGAAAGAGTTTTCTGTGTTATTTTTTTTATGAAGAGTGGGTGTCCAGTTAAAAATAAGCAAGTGTCACCTCAGTTGCGTCAAGCGTAAGTGGACTGTACTTCGTTGAAGCTCTGACTCACTTGCAATCTTTTCTTTTCCCTTCCTTTCTCTATACTTGCTGCATGCTACTCAGAGCGAGGATGAAGAGACGGATTACGATATGAATGACTCAGATTAAGTTTAAATGTCATGGTGAGCACTAGCTGCCCTAGGATTTTACCCACATGCTTTTTTTTTTCAGACCCATCCAATCCTTACCCCCACTAGTGCTGTCCGTTGGCTAGTCCTGATGGTGTATTTGTTTGTGGTTATAGTTATGGCACAGTTAGTAACGACAGAATTTCTCCTATGGCTTGTTGCTTCTTTGACAGACTTGAGTCATGCTGCTGTTATTGGTTGTATTGTTATCAGGTCTTTTAGAGCTATGCTGGGAAAAGTGCTTCAGATAGTTTCTAGAAAGGAAATGCTTTTTGATCAAAGTTGTTTTTTCTTCTTCTTTTTCTTTGCACCACCTTTTCTGTCAAATAGATATGTTTGGGGCATCTGATAATCTTCATTGTGAATTTTCAGTAAATGTCTGATTTGACAATAAATAAACCTAAGTGCAACATGGTGAAAAGTCTTACCAGTCAACCTGGTAAGACTTGTTATTGCTATATCAAAATGTTTTCTGGTTTTCAAATTGATGCCTGGCAAATATAAGGAAATTATTTTATCCTTACAATATAAGGAAATGATTTTATCCTTGCAGTTACATATATCATAGGAAACACCCTCTCTGGAGAGCAAGTCTTTTTCCACTATAGTCAAGAAGTTGATATCTTATTGAAGATCAGGGTACTTATATGATTTTCTAGCTCTGACCTTTAAAGTAGGATTGGAAAGAACAACTTCTACAACTCTTTTCTAAAGTGTCTACAAGAACTGCTCCTGCCTCCCAAGTTCTGGAGGATAACTTAGCCCTGAAAGTTCAATGATATAGGCAAATAGTCACTGGAATCCATATATAGTCTAGATACTTGTAATTACGTGAGAGTGTGTTTCAGCTTTTTATGTGTACACTTTTTTTTTTTCCTTTCTAAATGCATCCTTATATTTATCTCTGAAGTGKTTTTTTTTTCTTCTCAAGATGGTTGGAGAAAAGGCTAAATTATTGTCTTAATGAGTACTAATAGAAACTACTTTGAGGTAAAGTGCGCTCTTCTCTCAAGCCTTCAAGAATGGCTGTAATGGGTGTGAATCTGATGCCTTTATTGGGAGGATGAGGGGAAAAAAAGTAAACTAGCCTTGTACCTGAATTGAATGCAGGATTCCTAGGCTGCTTGAGAGAGTCAGTCTGTTAAGAAGCTATTTGATTATCAACAATTTATTTCTGAGTGGGAGGAAGTATTCTCAAGCTCTCCTTCTCTAAAAAGCAGTTGCATTCAGGTGCTTTAGGATCTGAGAGTTTATTCAGTTTATTATTGAAGAAAAGATTTACAAAAGAAGAAAAAAAAGAGGTGGGGAAGACTATACTGTTCAGTCCTAGATAGTGGCAGTTTAGAACACCTACCATAATTATTTCTGAATCTAGGAAATAAGCCTGAGTTTGAGACTATTCTTGATAAGAGATTTTCTTTTTCAGTTTCTAAAGAGAGATGGATGGAATATTTATCAGGAGAGCTTGTTAATCGAAAGTCTTTTAAATAAAGGTAGAGGTTGTAGAAGAAGTGTCAATTAAAGTGCTATGGTAAAATATATCTTGATCTAATCAGGGTTTCTGCCTTACTTTGGATTACTGGCTCAGCAAAATGTGTTAAGTACAGCATTTAGATCCGATTAGATTTATCCTATTTCCTGTGTTCTTGAAGTACAAAGAAAACAAAAAAAAATCTTAAAAGTATTTTTTATTTTCCAGGAAAGAATAAACTGATATTGCATTTTAAATGTGAAAGATTTACAAAATGATTTGAACTAGTATTATTTTCTAATGTGCAGATACTTGCTTCAGCCATATTTTTGCTTCTCTTAATGACTGTTTCACTTGTCAACTGTATTTCTTATGTCAGAGCAATATGGACATCTACCACAGTACTTGTTCTAAGCTGTGGCCAACTGCAAATATTCTTGGAAAGAATTCAAGTATGAAATATTTATCGAAATGCTTGTCATTTAGTGCGCACAGCAAATTATCTTCATAATAAATAAGCAGTATTGGTATATAATATATGCCTTAAAATACGTCACAGTTGGAACTTTATCAAAGCGGCTGCATTGTCATCTGGTTTCATAATTTCTGAATGCTAATATTATTGATTATGAAATGAAAAAGAAGTTTCTAACAACAAAGTAAAATCTAAGTACTGCAGAAAGTACAAAGGATAAAGTAGATTTTCTTGGAAGTAAATTAGTGCTCAAATGTTTCGGAGGCATACAGATGGTGGCAAGGGTCCTCATGAACTTCCGTTCTTAAAAAATCCCATGCAGCTGTGCAGAGTGAGAGAGACCCTACTTGACTACAGTACCGATGAAAGAATTACTAGGCTTGATGATTAATAAGGGATGATGGAATTAAATTGCCAACATTTTGTAAGAAAAAGATAATAATAAAAAGAAAACCAAACCCTAGGTTTATTTTTTCATTTAAAGTTATATGAAACTGCTGTGCTAAGTGGTTGCTAATTTTCACCTTACAGGCACAAAGATGGAGGAGTTTGTGTGTACTGTCAGACTGAATCCTTTGGGATGGAATGTACCACTGGGTATTAGCATAAGGTTTTTGTCTTAATATGAAACTATATGATAATCACCATAGAAGGAAATTCTACATTGAAAACTACTATGACCATTTCTTGAAGATCATGCATTTACTTTCTTTCAGCTTTTGAAATCAAGAGCTCTTCCCTAACATCAGGAAAACAGCCAACAAACAAAATAAAATGTAGTGTCTTAGATTATTTCATTTACTGGTGAATGTGGTGAATGTTGTTTAGCAGTGCTTATGCTCAGCGTATTTAGAGCTTTGCTTAGTCTTCTTTTTTATTTTTTTAGCTGTCATGATTTGTTCTGTAGTTTGCTTATACAGAACTACAGTTCTATAGTTTGCTGTTAGGACCAAGACTAAGAATGTGGTTTCTGGTCAGTCCTAAGACTTTGATCCTTTCCTCACTGGAGGAACTGAAGAGAATTGAAATAGAAAAGGCAAAAATAKTCCAGGTAGAAGTGGCCTTCCATGTTTCAAGGTACTGTAGATGAGAATACCTGTTTTTTGAAGGGCAGATTTTTTTTCTATTATAGTTCAGGCTTTTTCTATTATAGTTTAGGCTTTTTAAAATATGCCTGTTAAAATTACTGTATAACAAACTGAGTCCTTTTAGAACACTTTCCCTTCCCAAAAAGAAAAATTAAAACAAGAAACAGATGGTTTTATTCACTGTCATGGGAATCTCAATTCAATAGGAAGATGAAATTCCATGGACAGAACTTTTGAGAAACCTATTCCTCCTCATGAAGTCACAGCCTGTCAACTGCCTGTCTTGGGCAATACAAGGGATAATGTTTGATGAGGTAATACGGGATAAATATAACATGCTATGTCCTGTCTTCACAGACGCAGTTTTCATGTAGACAAGGATGCCTAGCAGACTTGTGAGATCTTTCATGACCAAATAATATTAATGTAAAAGTATTTTAAAACTGTTTTCAGCATAGTACTTATTTTCACATAGCTGGTCTGTTCAACAGCTAAGTCTTATATATTAAACAGTATAGCAAAAGTCTAAAGAAATCTAGTGGGCTGAATTTAGTTCATACAAGAGAGATCAAGCTCCACATGTGGGGCTTAGTTCATGCATGCTCATAATCAGCCTTTGAAAAGTACCTGTGTCATCACATTTTAAGTACATATTTTAAATTGCTAATTTGTATTTTCACTGYTGTTTTATGGAACACAGCAGCTAAAATGACAGTTGAGGGTATTTTAGAACAAGGTAAATGAAAATTAAATCCCAATTTTTAATCAAATAACTGAGTTCATTTACCATATAGTGATGTAAGTATTGTCAGAACTAGGATGAGGTCAAGTGGCTTATCTTTTATATCTACCAATACTAAAGATTTGGATATATTAGATAAGACTCAGCAGTGTTTTACATGTGTTTTAGTGGTGTTTGATAGGAGTTATCATATGTATCAATCTTCTTTGTTTTTCAGCCTTGCAGCATAAGCTTCAAGAATGTTCTTGAACCAGCTCCCTGACACTTCATGAGTGAWTTGAAATCATGATCATGTTGTTCTTTGTCCTTCATGCATTTAGGAATAACATTGACGGAGTTTTAATTTAAATATATATTGTTTTATATTGGTCTCTTCCAGATTTTGCAAGAAAGAGGATCCAGGATGTGAAGACAATATCGAATGCTGAAGATTTTTTTTTCTCTTTTATTCCAAGAAGCAGTGAATTGTCGCATTGAAGAGGCTTGGCTGCAAAAGAAAAAATCTGATTTAGACAATTTTCTGTTGATCTGGGTTCAACCATTTTTGCCTATAAGCTGGTATAAACTGGCTGAAAGCATTGCAAGATTACTTAGTGGGAATAGATGGTGTGAGAGTGTGTGTTAAGTTTTGGTTGTAGTGCGTGGTTATACTCTCTTATGGGCTGGCTGACATTGGTCATTTGAATAGAGGTGACCATGCACTCATATTTTTCTCTGAGACATGTAGCGCTTACGCCTGGTGCTGGATGACCCAATGTTGATCAGTTTGAAGAGTTTTTCTTACTAATCGTTTTAAACATTTAAAGGACAATGTAACTGGTGCTACACACACACACACACGCACGTACGCATGCATTACAGCCCACAAATGTAAATTTAGGGGCCTACATTGTTTTGGATTCGGTGGCAGCTCCTGGTGACTCTCTTATACTGCACATTCCGTATGGCTCTGTGACATATTCTGTCATGTAACAACAGCAGAACAGCCTAGGAGATCAACTGAAACTAGTACATAAAATGTTACACCACAGACAAAAGTGTTTTTTTCTCAAGGAAGGATGTATATATCAACTTAGTGACTGGGTTTATGGCATATTTTAATACTCAAAGAGAAGAGGAAACTCAGAGAAAGTGTCCTTCGTTTGAGTCATTCTTGATACTCCTGTCCAAAGTGTTCTCCTGCAAAAGTTATGCTCTGGTTTTAGCCAGGAGTTTGTGAGGGGAATCAAAATTCACTTAAAATGAGCAACTGAGCATTTTGTTTCTTTTGAAATCGTTGTAGTCAAGTGTGTGTTTATACTTCTAAAAATGGCTACAAGTGTTGATCTCACTGTGGATTTTGGTAAAGATTTGTAAGAGAACTGGGGGTTGCATAGAAATATGGCTGGCTAGTCCTACATTCTTATGAGTGGGTTTAAGATCAACATTGAATGTGAACACAAGATCATCCAATTAAAAATCTTAATTATTTTGGATATCAGGATACTTAAAATCAGTCTATCTTTCTATACTGTTTCAACTATGCAGTTAAAGAACACTGTTTGAAAACATCTGGTGCAGCTTTATTAGGTTATGTCCTTGATAAAGGCTAATACCCAGACTGGAGCTTTTTAATATGCTATGTTTTAAGCAAAATCTTCAGCACATTTTTGAAATACTTAATTGATAGGATAAAATTCAGCTTCATTAATACATGTAGCTGAAAGCAGCAGAAAGAAGTCTCAAAAACCTGTAAGATTGCTTAGAATTCTAAAAGAGTAAATAAAAATAAATCTTTCACTCTCAGTAAGTTCAGAATTTAAGCATATGCTCTAGGTAATCCTTTACACACAAACCTGACTGTCAGGCACCTAGGGTCTGCCTATTTTTTTTTTTTTTAAACTTAATGTATATTGATAAAAGATGGGCAGAAATAATTTGTAAAAGCATTTCTACAAAGCAGGTTAAGCAGTGGGCTAAATGTTTTGTCCATGCATCTAGTGCTAGAAAGCATTAGTGCATTTTGCCACTTGGATGTGGTCTGCGCAGGAAGCTGCTGGCCTCTCCATAACACATAAAATGTTTGTCTTTTTTTAAGATGTTAAGACTGAATTGAATTTACTAAAATGTAATTGCGTAGGGGGGGAATGTTTATACTTTTATACTTTTTTAGGCACCCGTATTTTAGCTGCTTAAATTTAGCACCCAAATTTCCCCTAAATAGTAACAGATAATCTTATGTATTTGAAAATAAGCATAATGGTTGTCTTTGTTAACTGCATATTAAAACATTTCCTCTGATACAGTAATCACTGTGTTTTTAGACAATGTGGCTTCATCATATTCTCTGGGCTCTCTAGCTCATGGATGTGCAGCCAACTAGGTTTCTTGTTCTTTACTTGCTGTGCTGTACAGAATAATTCAGCATTGGCATGTGTGGATTTTAATGCCTAAAATAACTGTATAATAATCCTGAATCTGCATTTGTGTTTTCTGTTTTATTTAACACAAAATGACAGAACGATTTAATTCATCAGCTGAAAGAATGAGAACAGCAAAGCATGAGTAACAAACTGAGCAAAGTGAACAAATTTAGAATAGGTAAAAAGATTTTTTTTTTTTTTTAAGAATGGCTTTGTTCATGGGAGTATCTTTAAAAACATAATTTTATGGTGGGGATTACCTGAAATCTAGTTTATGCTGTATCCCTATTGAGGCAAATTTGGGGAAAATAAAGGGTTAATTATTTTGCATTTTTCTTTCCAATATCTCATAAAGATCTTAAGCAAAAAACAAACAAAACACAACAGCAACAACAACAAAAAAAACCCACCTTAATAGGCAGGTAGCTTTTACATGATTTTTATATGCTGTTGTATGAGACCTTGTGAACTAACTATTCTCCTATTGTTAGTGAGGTTTTTTATTTTTTATTTTTTTTAAACATCTGCAGCTTTCTGATAGCTTGAAGTGTTATCATATGCCTTTTTGAAGAAAATTTACCATTATAATTTAAACTGGAGTCTTTTGTCTGTTTCTTTTCTATCATTTGGGGAATGTTTACCACAGAAGAATAGCATAGAACTATACAAACAGGTTCATCAAAAGAGCATACTTGAAGACCTATACTGAGAAAGTCTTTGAGGCAAAGTGTAAATTCTGTATTTATACATTTTTTTTTTAATCCTTAAATCAAAACAGTATTCCAGGTTGAAAATCGAGATCCCGAGCATCAAACAATCATAGCAGGAAGAAATAAAGCAGAGAGGTGGGATACTACTCCATGTAGTTAATAGAAATGACCTGTCATGAAAATTTATAAACTCTATGGAAAGTTTAACTTTATGCCCTTTTGCTGTATAAATATTCTGCTGTCTGCATTTGATCAAATTGTAGATGTTGTTGATGATTAAGGGATTTTTAGAGGAAATCTTTATGGASTTTTACACAATCGTATTTTATAACCTTGCTTAAAAAAATGAAAAAAATTAAATTTACCATAGCAATTTCCTGCTTTATGTTAGGAAACAGGTAGTATTGTTGGCTTGATTTAGTCAGAGGATAATTTTTGTTATTGGGGATGATTGATTTGTAAATCAAATGCTTTTGGCTTTCTTCAAGCAGCAATTAAATGGAATTTTATCTTTTGTCCTGATAACAGCTCATTCTGAGTCCTCTGGTCCATAGCAGCTGTCCAGAAGTGTAGCTTGACTCAACAGCTACCCGCAGTAAATATGAAATAGTTCTTTTAGTGAAAGACACACGGTTATTTGGAATTCTGTCCTGTTTGCTCTCAGGTTACCAAGGATTATGGCCTATGTTAACTTACTATTCCACAGTGACTTAATTGTGTATCAAAGGCAAATTATGTTTTGCAGCATAAATTGATTCTCTGTGGAACTTCTGAGTCCTCAGCATCATATGCTCAGTTTATTAGGAAAAAGTACCGTGTTTCCTTGAATTCAGCCAGGCTTGTGGTAATGATAAAATTTCATCTTTCACCTTAGCTTTAATAAAAAATACTCCTGAACARATTGAGCTGAAGATACCTGTGTAGCGCTTTTTTTTTTCTTCAGMTGTTGTTCAGACAATTCCTGTGTAGCTCCATTTTCAGTAAAGTGCATGCACAGTCAGTTAGCAGTGATCAACTAGCAGTGGTCAAAGCAAACAAAAACTTGATTACAGGTGCCATAAAGGAACAGGTCTGTTCCATCCAGGTCCTACTGCGTGATGGTGTTTCCCCAAAACCACCTCTCAGAACAGAGCACTGCATTCTGTGGACCTCTGCTGAGGCTGTTGAAAGTTGTCAGTCTCAAGCAGTGAAACATTGTAGGGAGCTACCGCCATAAAATTAAATTATATTAATTACAAATCTCCTATTTTTATTGATGTTAATAAAAATAAGCTTGGACTGTAAAAATTATAGCGTATTCCTGAATGAAATTATTTAGAAACTGTTATAATGTATATTTTCTACTCATTTGGGTATATTGGAACATGTGTCTTGAGAAGTACTAACAGAAGAAAAAGTACTGGGTTATTTGTGAAGATCAAAGTCTAGTGAAAAAGGGTTCAGCTGTAGCTTGCGCTTTTGTTCAGTTGAGATGTGATAAAAAATGCAAGTGTCATTTTCCAAATCTCTTCCAGGTTTTTCAAATTATCCTCTTGAATCAGTCCTGAAAGTTGAGGCCCATAAAAAGAGATGAGATTTTGATTTTGCTCTACACCCATTCAACAGTATCTGTCATAGCAGGATAATTAGACTTCTGGAGGTCACTGGTRAAGAGTATTTTCTAGCACAGCAGTTTTGAAATACACAAGATCTGAGGATGCTTCCTATTTGATTAATTCTGGTTTAGACTGCAGTTATTTGCTCCTTTAAGGATCTTACTTGGGTTTGTGTGTAGAAGTACAGATTCTAAACATACCACAAATATTCCATTAAGAAAAAAAAAGGGGGGGGGGGTGGCTCTCTGAAAGTGAGTGTAATATATCCTTTCTTGTGGCTTCCAGCAATTGGGAGTTTTTAAAGGCTTCTCACTGAACTGAGGCTTTAAAGGGCTAAATAGGTCACTTTATTATTGTTCAATTTGCTTAGGTGACTGTTGAGCAGAAAGAACTTTCCGTTTGTGGAATACTAAGGGCTATAATGTTTTCTAGGGCTACTTTGAAGATTCAGAGACATAAGTTTTGTAAAGGAGCCACTCCATTTTTCCTGTAACTCATACTAAAATTGTTTTGGAAATTGCTAAGCCAATTGCAAATATGTGTATATAGGGACATAGTGAAACTTAGGGACATGGTGAAAGAGTACCCACTTTCCCAACCCTTTATTATTTCCTGTGCTGAAATCTAATGGTTTCTGTGAACAGAACTGGCAATAGATAGATTCTGAGGAAGATTCTATTCCAGGAAATAATCACTGAATATTCCTTTGCAATTCACTTTCCTTTGGCAAGGTCTATCAAGGTGTTCTACCAAAAAGACTCTGTTTAGGTTTTTCAATATTAATCACTACTATAATGAAAATATAAATATATATGCACACACACACACACACATATATTTGAAAACTATTTTGCTGCTTCGGAGGGGTGGAGGTTCTGTAACAGCATTCCGTTTCCCTCAGAGGAGGGGCCCAGCTTAACAGCTGATAAGATTTCCAAACCCTGTATTTGAAATGTATGAGTTGATGAATCCTTGTACTTAGTTCTTCATCCTTTCCAAGATTTTCCAAAACCGTATGTGCAACCTTACTTAAACTCAACTTAGCCTTTGGCTTGCTAAGAAGAAGCAAGTGCCAAGACATTGTAAAACAAATATTGCCCACTTCTACTTGTAACTTAACCAAGATCACTGAACTGAACAAGTAGCAGATGGCAAGTATTTTCAGCTGCTTCTGTGAAATGGGGATGACCTGCTGAAGAGGCCTGCCTGCTCAATTCAGCAGGTGGGTTGTTTTGAGGGGGTTGCTTCTTATTGTTGGTTTTGTTTTTTTTAAAAGCTGGTCTCACAATCAGTTGTTCACCAGGTGTTTTATGCTGATGTCCAAGTCACCATAGTTGCAAAATGTTATTTCCTGAATAGTGGATTAGCAATAATATTTTCTTTCGTGCCAGTTCTTTATCTCCGAAGTGTTCTTACTGCAGCAAAATTTTGAGTTGGTTTTAATGCTTTTGTATTARTCTAAATTATTAGCACAAACATGGACAACAAATTAAATACGGGGCATTTCCCTGAATAAAAACCCTCTAGGGCTTCCCAAATCATTTGACGATGGCTACAATTAGCCATCATTTTTAGAAAAAACATACTATTAAAATGTGTGTGGGTATTTTTTTTAACTTCCTTTTCATAACACTAGTGTATTATAAACTGCATGAAATAAATATGTTTTCTCCCTTTCAAAGTCTCTTAAGTTTTCTTTTCTGAGTCCATTAAGAGTGTAATATCACAAATATACTCAGTTTAGCACTTCAGATTAAAAAAATATAGCTTAACAGTTCACTTTTATGCAATCACTCGAAGCAGTGTTACTTATTCCTATGTAAAGGAGATGCACCCTCTTCTCTTGCCCCAGYCCCGTAGTTATAGAAAGCAAGCTTATTCACTGTGAAATTTCATGTTTACCATTACTGTTGTTGCTTGTTACAGTAGGAAATTCTTCACTCTAGTATGGGTATATAATCACAAAAGAGCAAAATGCCAAGGTTTAAGTGAACATTGTGCATATATTTTCCTTCATACAAAACACAAATAAACCTGCCTAAAAACACAATTTCTTCTAGAATACTTGAATCTTTAAAGTAAATGTTTGTTGTTTGAAAAAAATAAGGTAACTGAAATCAACACTTTATAATAAGGACAACGGAGTATAATATGGGAAATGTAAATAAGAAGCCACTTAGTACATTTTCTACAGAAGTAGAGCAAAAAACTGAAGAAAGTCAGTGATTAAGTATCTGAAAGAGGTTACTAAAATAATTTAGACAGTTTTTGACAGCTGTTTCATCTACAAGGATAGAAAAGATTGTAATTTACTGTTAGTATTGAGAAATCAACGTAATTGCCCTTATTTTCCAAATATGGAAATGAGAGGTATGAGAGGCTAAGACTTTGAATTCTAAAATCTTAGAGTCTGCACAGGTAAGTATGAGAATAATTTAATTAGTTTTACTTTTAAATGCAAATAATTGCTTAATTTTTCCTTACATATTCATCAACTTTGGTATAATTTTACTGAAATCTCTTGTATTTTAGTAACATTCCAATCCAGTAGTATTAACTATTCTGTATACACTTCCATATTTTGTCAGACTTCTTAAAAGTATTTAAGACTTTACAATCAAGCAGTACTTCTTCTAATCTAAATTCCTATTTTCTGTATCTGTAGCTTTCAGTGTCTTCACAAACTGTCAAAGGTGAGAACATGAAAATTCTGTAACTGTGTATCCCAAACCATAAATCAGTTAGTGTAAGGGAACCTAAAGGAGATGATCCCGCACTTCTGAGTAAGTCGTTAACACTCCACTTGAATCTTTCAAAACAGTCAGAGTTTATTTCAGGAAGGTGAAAGTGACCTTGTGGGGTGCTGATTCTTACCTGGCAGTCATAAGCAGAGTTTGATGTTTATGTGCGGTTCTCTGGGCTGCTCTCTGGGTAACTGCAGAAGGTAAGTGATAGCAGTTTGCTTTAAAACACTGCTTCTGGTAATGTGCTTGCAGTCCTCTGCACAGAAATGTCACTTCTTCCGTCACATCCGTTCAGATCAATGGTAACAATCTTCAGGGCTGAGTTTGCAAGGATGCAAATTCAAGCAACACAAAACCCTGGGAAGTCCACATAATACAGTGTGGTGCATCTGTCTATTACCTTAAGGACCATGCTACCAAAGTTGCATCTTAAATGCAGGGATAATACTTCAGCTCAGAGGACCCCATACTGCAAATGATAGATGCCAGAAAGGTATGCAAGAGAGTTCATTTTCTTCCTACTGCAAGTATTAGCTACTCACAAAAGATGACTAGAATAATGACCTGTAGTCTGATTAGGCATAGCCACTATTATGTTCTTATACAGTCTAAATACCTTATTTTTGAACTTCTGCTGAGAAATCACTAGAGATTCCAGCTATATTTTCACCAAGCAATGTGATATTGAGACACTCAGTAACTTGCAAAGCAATCTGTAACTGGTGTTTTCATAAAGAAATGCCAAGTCATTTGTGACTGTACAGGATGTGTCTTCTGTACATGTATCTGTAAACTGACTTCCTTCTCAGCATTTACTAGTTGAAACAAAACAATTAAAGATGATACTGCTACAGGTGTGCATGCATTAAGAAAAGAGAACTATGCAGGAGCTGGAACCCACAGGAAGGAAAATCTGTTTTGCATGGCTGAATCACAAATGGGAATAAAGACTGCKCATTCAAAGAGAAGGTAGTTACTGTTAATTAACTCCATTATACAAAGAAGCTAAATAAGGACACAATGAGAATACAGCAAGCGCTTCAAGAATTTGGACTGTTTATATTAAGGTGAAATGATTACCTGGCAGTCTTAAACATTTCTGTGATGTGTCACTATTCCTGTTCTGCCTCATTATCTCTTTCACTGTTCCTTACTGTAACAGGGAGACATTCCAACTGCCCACCTGTCTACTGGAAAGAATACTTGTCCTCTCCATACTTTCTATAGCAATCAAAAATGAGACAAGAATAAATGAGAAAATGGATTTTAAAAAATCTGGAAGGGGCTGAGATACACCATTCAGCTTGTGCCCTTGGTCAAAGGCAGAAACAGCAACGCTTCCAACATATGTTGTCTAACCTACCTTTAAACCCCCATGTACTGAAGAGCCCGTACCACTCACTCCCCCATAGGGCAATCAACTGTCTTACCATCTTTGACATTGAAGATTTTCTTCATTCCTTATCTTCATTTTTCTTGCTGCAGCTTATACTGATAATACCTTGCCCCCTTCATTGCAGGCAAAAATAGGTTATTCCCCTTTCTCTGTGCCATACCCATTTTCTCAAAACCAGCTTACATCTTCATGTTGTGTGTCATGTTTACAGTGATCCAAGGAGCAGAAACATCTAATGGAGTTCAAAATTGGAATTGTAACAGCTAAGCACAAAAAAAAATTCTAATGAGGTCAAGTCATCCTACTAGTTTTAGGTGCCAATTGCAACTGAATTCTAGATACCCAGAGCTGCACAGAACACAAGTCTTCTAAGAGGCCATTTAACGTATCTAAGATTATTTCAGCAGCTGCCTACATATGAACTGTAGGGCAATACAATTTCTAACTAAGCACATATTTTGATTTGGAGAAATTTAAGTGATTTTTTTTCCCAAAATTAATTCTAGTATTCCCGGTTGAGACACAGTTTTTAATTTAGTTTTAAGCAACACACTGGAGGCAGCTCAAGAACAACTATCGTGTGGAGATCATGATGAAACACAGCTGGGTAAAAGCTTCAGGACTTAAATTTCATTTAAAATATGATTAATATTCAGCAAAATAAAGTATGTAATTTGCATATAAGAACCCAATACCCTGTTTCTCACACACACACGCACAAACAAAAGAATTCTTATAAGCTATTATCTAAATAACAAGCCAAGCACACAGCTAACGGCGGAACGTGGCGAGGCAGGAGCGCGTTTCCTGCGGCCCGGGCTATGGCCAAGGAGGCGCCCCCAAACACACGGGCCGGGTGTCTGCGGCCGCCCGCGCTCCGCCGCCTCAGCCTTCAGCCCCCCGCCCCACCCCCCAGCACCGCTCAGAGCGGCGCCAAGGCCTAATGAAAATCCCCTCCCGCTGACGAGTTCTCCAGCCAACCAATCACCCGTGAAAGTTCCTCGAGGGGCGGAGCACCCGCCGGCCAATCAGAGTCCTGCCTGTTCACGGGGGGGTGGGGTCCTCTCGGCCTCAAGACTGTCCGGGGCAAGCGCGGCCTGCGATACTGGCTCTAGTCCCCCTGCGAGGGTCCAGGCCTTACGAAGGTGTCGGTGACTCTCTCCGCGCCTGAGGTAAAACTTTGCATTGTTGGTTGGTGAGGGCTGTAGGGCGTGAGGACGCGCAGAGCACTTTAGAGAGTCTGGCGGGTATCCCCTGCGCTATCTGTTCAGGCATTGTTTTGGGCGCCTCGGGTCCTGTGTCACGAGGTTGCGTAAAGCGTGGCGGACGGAGCGGAGTCGGGGGCATACAGCGCCGGCGCAGAGGTGCGGACGGGTCGGGCTGAGGGACAAACCAAAGTGCTGCACTCCGCACTGAGGAAGAGGGAGGGAAACTCCGGGCCAGAGACAAAGGGGGGCGGGGGGGTGGTGGTGGTTAGAAAGCCGAGTGGGGAACATCCGGGTCACTTCCTGCCGCCTCGATCCGGGAAACGCGCGGGCGCTGCGGCCGATCACGGTGAGGCCTAGCTGATAGAGGGGCCTTAGGCGGCGGGACCGGCGGCGCGACGGGGTGGGCGGCCCCGGGGAGCGGCGGCTGTTCTGGAGCGCCCCCTCTGGGACGCGATCGCGCGGGCGGGCGGGCGCGCGGGTTCGGCGGCCTCTGCGGAGAGGGGCGGCCGGGCCCCCTCAGCGCGGCGCTGCCCTCCTCGGGCGCACTATGCGGCTGCCGCCCCAGGGCGCTGGGCCACCGCGAGCCGAGCGCGATGAGGATGGCCGCGACACTGGTCTTGCGCGAGGCGGTCCCAGCCCCGCGAGCACTTATCCGGGCGGGCGCCGGGCTGCCCTGCGCAGGCCTCGGTGCTGCCCGGGCCCCTCCGCCGGGCGTGGACAGCGCTTGGCTTGCCCGGCCCGCGGCGGCGTAACCGAGCCAGTCTGGAGTGAGAGCCCTTGCTGCGCTGCTCCTTCAGCTTTCGCAGCCGCGCCGGGAGGGCAGTCCCTGGATTCCACCCTTTCTCTGCCAAGCAGGCGGTTTCTCTTCCAGTCCACGCTGGTCTGTTTTGGTTAAAACATGATCACAGCTCTTCTCCACTCTTCTGAAGAGCAAAGTTTGTCAAGTTTTTGGAAGAGGTGCTTGCTTCATATCTTCTTGTGCTGATAATCAACCCATGGAGTGACAATATGAGTCTAGCAATCTTAAGCTAGTTTTATTGATACTACTTGAAATGAATAGGATCTTGTTCGAGTTCTTGGAATGTAGAGAGCATGCTGACCCTGTTTTAAAGATTCCTCACAGGTTAGAAATCTGTGTGTGACAGATGCTGTCCTGCAGCAGAACTGTTCTTTGTGAGACTAGTTTTTTGTATTTGGAAATAGATTTGTTTGTTTATTTGTTGATTTAGTTATTGGTCTTTTCCCTGTATGTGRGAATAGGTATCTGTAATGAAACACAACCAGTTCACTCCCTKTGATAAAGGTTTTGTTTTGTTTTGGTATGGTTGGTCCTTGTTTTTTATTTTCTCTCCAGAAGTGGATAAGGTGGGTATTAGCTGCAGTCTACAAAGTTTGGAAGCTTTTGCTCATTTTCTAAAGCTTTAGTAATGATATCAATAAGAAGGGACAGCACTGCTTATATTTGTGGATGGCAGGGTGGAGGGGCAGGAAGAATCTAAAACCAAATAGAAGATGGAGATGGACCTCTTGTGCTCACATGGCTCCTGTAGTATAGGGTTCGTTTCCTTCCAGGGCTGAGGAGAGTGTGTCCTTTCCAGTTAGGTATCTCTTTAATGTGTTCTGACCTCAGTTCAGTTTCTTAATAATGAATTTCACAAGTGGAGGAAAAATCAGATGTAGTCACAGTAGCTTTTTTAAGCTTTTTTTTTTTTTTTTCCAGATTTTTAACTGTTTTAAGTTAATAGCACTATCTTTCTTTTGCTAGGAGTTTAAAGAGCTTATAAGACCCCAATATTAAACATAGACATTTGGACAAAATACTACTCCAGTTATTATTACAAAGAAAACAGTGTGCCTAAATTATTGAGGTAGATAAATGTAGCAGAGAAGATAGGAAATCTTCAGCTTTATTTCCGAAGRTCTTGTTAACACATTTTATCTCCTTTCTTGTTATTCCATTACTTCTGAGATCGAAGTGTGTGTGTATATATATGTATATATATATATTCTGGTAAATCAATCTATTTCTTGTATCTAAAGCAACAGGCATACATTACAGCAACAGTTTCAGTAAGATGTATAGGTTCCTCTAGTGAAGAGCTACTGGACGGGGTATGTCAGGAATTTATTAATAGATTGCACTTTTGAGCAGATTCAATGGGATCTTCATTCAGAACTAGGTAGGCTTTAACTCTCATTTATCACAAACTAACGAAATAGATATGCAAGAGACAGGAGTGGCAAGAGTGTGGGTTGGAGGCAGGGGGTTGTATGTGTGGAGGTTTTGTTTGTTTGTTTTTCCTTCTCCAATATTTGTCTGCTCTTGTAAGGGTTATTGAACCCTGTGTGCTTTGTGAAGAGTTTAACCAGGCACTGACCCATGCAATACGAGTATGTAAGATATTTAGATACTTCTGAGAGAGTAACATGTTCCAGAAGTGAGAAGTCTCATTTTTTTTACATCCTTTTATGTTGAATGCTTCCTACAGCCCTATAGGCATGTAGGGCTTGCAAAAGTCAAAGTGAGCCTACAAGTGTACAGTCTTCCACAACTGATTTACTTTAAAATACAAAAAGGGCAGTAAATGTAGTTATGCAATAATAAACCTGTTGCACTCCCTGCCTAAAGATACCCGTTGTAGTAACTTGAGCATCCCTGGACTCTTTTAAAACATTGTAACAACAGCCTTGCAAAAGAGAGACCAGAAATTGGCATAAAAATCAGAGTTGGGAACACAAATGTGGTACACTTGGGAAAGAAATGGTGTGCAATCCTTCYTCAGAGCTTGTTTTAACATCTTGAGGTACAAACCAGTAAACAGATTAGACTTAATCTGGCAATGTAGGTGTATATATGTGCCGCAAATAATCTCTGAATGTAGTCTGTTTGGTGATTATGACAAATGGTTCGATATTTGAAAAGATCTTTACAGAAGAAAGACTAAGATTACTGAGTCCCTATATAGTGAGTGCATAACTAGTAAGAACAGCAAGCAAGTTACAGAGTGACCCAAAACAAATCAGAACTGAAGCCTGAAGATTCATTCTGTTAAAAATTACTTAGTTGGTGTTGTTCTGTAGGATCTATGTAGTTTATAGCCAGCATTTCCCTTGAGATAATTACCTGTTACCACAAGAAACTTAATTCATTGTGTATTTGAAAGCATTCTGTAATACTTTTGCCAGAGAAAAGCTACCTGAGTTACTAAAGGATCTAAGAATATCTGAGTGGTACAAGTACAAGTAGTTTCCTCAAATTATTGTAGCTAGATTAATATAGCAGACTATTTTGTACTGACAGCACAACTGAAGTTCAGTTATCTATTCAAAAGTTCATTTAAATCTGTTTCAAGAGTATAGGATCATCTGGAAATTTGAAAGAGTAATTTTATTCTAAAAGAGATTTTTGTTCTGACAGTGTTTCAAAGACTCCTACTTCTGCATGAAGGAGTCTGAAGTGGTATGTACAGTTTCTTTGTTACTTCTTCTGACTTAACTAAGATCCAGGTATTTCTGTTTTACCCATCAAACAATTTATAGTGGTGATTCATAGATAACATTAAGAAGAGTTTTGGATTGAATATAGGACTTAGTGTACATATTTGCTCTATTTCAGGGTTAATGATACTTTCTAAAAATAACTTTCTTGGGCATGAATTTAACTGCTAGCTTTAAACTGAGATTGTTTTATGGACATGCAGGCAAAACCTGGCTTTGGATGAAGCTAGAAGGAAGTATTTGAAATACTGAGTGCCCAGAGAACTCATTAGAACTGTTAATCTGGAGTTTTTGAAGGCTTTGAGTTGAGGTATCTCTTCTGCTATTTTTTTGACGTGTTGGAAGCCAGCTGTCTTCTAATCTTTAAAGTGCATAGTAAATGAGCATGTGTAGTTCAGTGTGAGATTTTAACACAAACATCTTTGTAAACTACATATCACATTATTGTACGATAGACTGTAATACTTATGAGTGCTTTGCATGTTAATAGTTTTGGATGTTGCATAGTTCTTGATCAGTATTTAAAATGTTCATGTTAATGGAATGCTAATATTCCTATCATTAATTCCATGAAGCTGTTTAGTGAAAGAATTCTTGTAATTCTTTTGTTTTTCCTAAAACCTAGTTAACTACATGTAGAATTAAAGGCAGTTGGAGAAGTGAGATCAGCTGTGAGTACCAACACTCCTTTGAAAAGGAGAAATGTGCAATAGGGAGAAAAGTTAAAAACTTTTATTGGAAGGAGGCTGTGAGCATCTTTTGACTATGTAGCTAACAATTTTAATAATGAAAAATAAACTCTGTTTTGATTAGTGTTCTATGTTAGTGGAAAATCTTCCCTGAATTTGAGTAAATAGCTATATTGTAACTACCATGTCTTGAGCTCCTATTGTATCATCTGCAGTGATGACCTATTCTCTGCATATTTTCTGCTGCAGTTTGCTGTTTTGGTCATCCTTTTTTTTTTTTTTTTTTGGTCTGTTACTATGGGCAGTGAAGATCCAGAAAGATCACAGAGTTTATGCTGGAGTTCAGAAGTACCTTGTGGAATGAGTGGGACATACCAGTTCTTCTGTTGATGACTTCTGCATTGTTGTCTATGTCTGCTGATGTTTAAGTTGCATAGAAGAATCCTCTCAAATTTGCTGAGAGGTCACTAAGTTCTATGTCCATGTTGCTTTTGCATAGTGTACTTACACATAGGAACTTACAATCTAAAATTGACAATCATCATCTGTTTAAAAGAATCAGGAGCAACAGATGTATTTGCCTGCAGAAGAAAATCATGAACTTATGTAGATAGGCTATTTTCTTACTAAGGATGGCATTTCTGTTGTCTAGTTACTGTTAAATATTTTTGAGAATGTAGTTCACATACAAAACACAAGGTGGGGATATTACATAAAGTCCAGTAACTTGACACTTTTGACATGGGAGACCTTGATGTTTTTTTTTCTTGATGTAGCGTTTTGCTGGGGTGGATGGGGGGATATATATCTTGACAAGAATAGTGAAAATCATAGATCAAAGTATTTCCTGGGTAGTCATAGCTTTTCAAAATATAGGATTTGTGAAATATGTAAACTTAAATTAGAAGTTTATACTAAAAGCTATCCCTTTTTCAGAGGGGGACTACAAGTATGTCTGGCATAGCCCTCAGCAGACTTGCACAGGAGAGAAAAGCCTGGAGAAAAGATCATCCATTTGTAAGTGTCCAACTGTCAACTTTCTGATTTCTTTAGCTATTTTTGTCTTTTGATGATTCTTTAATTTTGTGTGTGTGTGGTATTTTTTTTTGGGGGGGGGGGGCAGAATTATGTAGTGCAAAACAAAATAACACTATATATAAATAGAAGATAGTTGTATGCTGCAAGTGCTGTGTCTCTTCTGAAATCCTCAGTCTTGACTTTTTGCCTTAATTCAGGGTTTTGTAGCAGTACCTACAAAGAATCCAGATGGCACAATGAACCTAATGAACTGGGAGTGTGCTATTCCAGGAAAGAAAGGGGTAAGACTTACTATTGTCCTAACATTTCACTTAACCACTGAAAAGTAACATAAGCCTGCTCATATATTAAGATGAGAACTGAGGATATAGCTTATATGCAGCTTACTGTAAATGTTTAGATCCTTTTGCTATTTTGGAAACCAGTTTCAGTAGATGGAGAATGACATTGGACTAAATATACTGAGTCTGACTGGCATTGAGCATGTTAAGAAACAAGTGCTTCAGAGGACTGTGCGAGAACTCTGCATAGATAATTATGATGATAAACCCTGTCATGAAGCATATGATTGTGACTTTTGTTAATAAATACTGCTTTAAGGCTTAAAGTTTTAAGGTTAGTATTTCCAAAGTGTTGCCTCTGCTCATGAACCACAAATGTCTCTTTTCTGTCAATTAAATAGTGAGACTTTTTAATCTTACAGAGGGGCTGTCCTATAGCATTGTTCTTAATTTTATGGGTTTTATGGAAAATAGTTCTGCTTTATCATTATGGAAAATTTCATAAGCTGAAGGTACCAAATCCCCTTCTTGTAGAAAAAGAAGAATACCACTTTCTAACATTTTTTTTTCTAGCTGATTTAATCTATGATTTTATGTCTACTTCCTAAAAAGAAATAAATGTGGTTTCTACTGATATTTTTATTTCTCTTGTTACTCTAGTTAGCTTAGTTCTCTTTTAGGTGAGAGAACAAATAAAACATAGATGGATGTCAACATTAATGTATGAAGCTTTTTATGAAGCTATTTCTTTCTCAAGTTTTTGTTTGCCAAGGAGTGATTGGTTGCTCTTGAACCCTATGGATGCAGTCTTTTCTGGAGTAGTACTAATAACTACTCTTTTTTTTTTTTTTTTTTTTTTTAATTTTTGCAGGTCTTTGGTGTGGAATTACTCTTGTGTTTTGACTGTTTTACTACATCTTCATGACAGCTTACTTAAGTCCCTATAGAATCTGTTCTCTTTGATTTTTGTTTAATACAAAAAGTATATGTTAGCAAAACATACTGATTCCATACTGTTCTACAGTTCATCTAGTACTGAAATGCCCTCTAGTGTTCTTGCTAGAGCAACTTGACTAGACAGTTATTGAAGTATTGAACTAATTGATGCCTGGCTTTGTATGACTCTCTGAAACAACACACGTCCTGTCAAGGGTTAGGGTAAGAAATCTTAGGGGTACTGCTGTGTACGTTGTAAAATGAAGCAAACAAAACTGGCCTTAAATGGCAATTTCATGTCCCCTTTAAAATGGCTGATCCCAGGACAACATCAGGTAAATTCATGCATTTTTGTCTCTTCAGAAGTGAAAGCCTTAAATTATTATCAATCTCTAATCAAGAATTTTTGCTAGAAGCAGCATGTGGTGTTTGTCTTTACCAGACCAAGCAGTTGCAGTAGGTTGCCTTTGTGCTTGCAAGTATGCTGTACTTGAGCTGCTGCATCTGAGCCATATTGGTGGATGAAATCGCTTAGGTGGAGAAAATGAATGTTTGGAACCTTGATACTGAGTTTTATTAAAACTTAATTATCCTGCAAAAAATTTTAAAGACCTCTAATGCAGGTGCATATATGTGAGTTGTTGAATCCTTCTTTTGAATCCTTGCTACCTACTCATTTTTTTCCTTTCCGTTATGTGCATGCTTGACTATTCCAATTTAAACATAGAAATTTGTACTTCTCCCTGAATTGCATCTTTTTTTGCCCCGAAATTGTTTAAGCGTATTAAAGTTAAGTAAGTTTGAACCCAAAATGCTTTCTCATCCACTTGTCACTTCTGTCAGCTTGGTTCTGCCTCTAGATTTATTGGATGTCTTCTATGCTATTARCAGATCACAAGCTGAAGTAACGATTGGTATTTGACATGGAATGGATAGCTTCATACACTCCTATTTTGACAATGGATCATTTATTAACTGCCTAAAATATGACTTGAAAATACATCTGCCATCTGTGCAGTAGCACAGTAGGATCTAGATGGTGCTTTATCTTAATAAAGTTTTCAAATGTCTGCTATTTTACATCGATAAAATGTGTTGCTCTATTGGAAAGAGTCAAAGCTTAGCCAGTAACTTATTTTCCCCCAGACATTAGAATAAAAACAAGTACTTAGTTTGATTTCATCAAAAGGCTTCTAGCTCCTTTTAAAATGGAGATGTTTGTCGTCCCTGCAAAAAGTGTAGGGAATGGGTATTTTGAGTTGATTAGAATTCATTATGACCATTTCAGAACCTGTTAAGTATGTTATAGTAATCAAGACCATTCACTCTTAAAACTTTTCTGTGTTGGTATTCCTTAGCACCCTTTCTCTATTGTAGGCTGAAAGTTTGCACAGTGAAAACTAGCAGCAGCGGTGTGTGCTTTTTTTCACTAAAAAGCTCATGGTTCAAGTAGGAAAGAGGTAGGGCTTTTCTCCTAGGATAGTGTTTGAATGTCCTTGAGGACACAAGTTGATGACTTGTGAGACTATCATCACTTATTTTTGTCTCTAAAGGACGATTCCAACACTTAAATTCCAGTGAGCCATAATAAAGTCTAGTTACAGACAAGTAATCTGTATTAGAGATTACTAGACTTTTTCACACTTCTTACTGGAACTGAGATCTTCCAGTAAGAAGTTTCTTATACATTTAAAAAACAAACAATAACAACAAAAAAAGACAATCTGCAAGATTATATGACAGCAAGTAGACAGGATTAATTTAGACTAGTGAAGAACATTACATAAGTCTAGACTGCCCAGCAGTGTTGTTGTTTATTTTTGGTTTCGCAGTTTGTTTATTTTTGGAGTTTTCTCTCAGACCAGATTTTCATGAGCTGTTTATATTCATTCACTTAAATAATGTGTCCATATCCTATTTACTTACACTTTTTGTTCTTCAATTACAAAGCTGTCATACTATATAGAAGTTATTTGTGTTTATATTGAATTTCTTGACCAACTCTGCAACACTTTTTAGCAATAATCAAGTGGAAAAAGCAAGGGTTTTTTGTTTGTTTTTCTTCCCCTTCCTTTCTAGCTGCTAGCTATATAGGTAGAATATTTAGTCTCGATTAGACATGGCTTTACACCTTTATGGAATTGGTATGCGGATGCAGCACTGAGATATTACTGCTGTGTTAAAGCAGACATGTACTCTTAAAAGATTTTTTTAACTCTTGGGATTTGGAATTTAATTTCAAATTACTATATGAACTAATAATTTTGTTTTGTCAATAAAAGTGTGTGCTAGATAATTTGTTCAATGCATTCTTACTAGAACTGGCAAAAAGCTAATGAGGCAAGAGGAAAAATTTCGTRTTGGTATAAAAAAAGGAAGGGTCTTACTACCCCATTTTGTTTTTGTTTGTTTAACCTGATGTAATCTGAATTATTTTGATAGACGCCATGGGAAGGAGGATTATTTAAACTACGGATGCTTTTCAAGGATGACTACCCTTCTTCACCCCCAAAATGCAAGTAAAATGACCAAAACCCATGAGTTTAATAGAACAATATTAATCTATTCTGTGAGAATGTGTGAGAGGTTATGAATGGTTCTTCCTGATTTTCTACTAAAAGGTGTTTCTGTGCTGCTTTTGCATCTGGGGATCAAGTGTTTAAATGAGGAAAATGTTCATTATTAGAGGGCTGAGGAGTAGAGGGCTGCTTTGTGAATGCGAAATCTGAGAACATCTTCTGTCTTATTTAGCTTCTGGGTTCTTTAAAAAGGCTAGCCCTACAAACCAAGGATATGATCACAAACAGCTTTTTATACAGTGTTTCATGTTTCTTTAGTATTTCAGCAGTATTGGTTGTCTTGGCTATTCCTTAAGTTTTTCTCCAGCTAAATTCTTGTGGCAAAAGCAACATACTTTTTTAACTAGAGAATATTTAACATGAATAGTTCAAGAAATACCAACCAGTTTAATGCACTTTGCAAGTGCTGAATCAACTATCATCTCTAAAGGTATATCTGTGATTTATTTACTATGACTTATTTCTTACCAGTATTCTTTGGTTCCCACTGAACTTCAAGGGCCTCATAAGCAAACCTTAGTTGTGATGTAAGATAAATAGAACACTGTCCTACTACTTAAGTATTTTCTAGATTGCTCAGTATCTGTTCATCACATTACTTAAGATGCAGGATTTTGCATTTAACTCCTGCAGAGATTAAAGAAATGTGAATTAAAGGATGTGCATTGCTTGGCAAAGGGATARTTGCGTAAGCCCATTCCTTCAGTCAATCTTGCAACTTCAACATGCTTTGAACATGAACAAGTTTATTATGCATAAAAGGGAAACCGGAGAAAAATAAGTGTTCAGGGCTTAGCTTAGTTTTGGGTGTGGGTTGTTTGTGCGGGGTTTGTGGGTGTTTTTTTTTCTTTTTTCTTTTCCTTTTTTTTTTTTTTTTTTTTTTTTTCTTGCTGGTTGCAATGATATTACTGTGTTGCTTGGGCTGGAATTGCAGACATTTAGAGTTCCTGCTTTATATGCAGGCTGAGCCAAGAGGAAAGCCAATAGTAACAGCCTTTCATACCCCCAAAAAAACATCTTTAGAGATTGTATGTCTGTCTCTTCCTGTGCCTCACGTGACCCCTCCCACCTTGTATCGTGTTGCTGTGGTATTTTATTTATTTATTTCCCCCCCCCATAGACAGTATAAGCTAGCCTTCTAATTGTAGCCTTAGCTTACATATGTAAATAAACTCTTTTTCCGTAGGTAAATTTGAACCACCATTATTTCACCCGAATGTGTATCCTTCAGGCACAGTGTGTCTCTCCATCTTAGAGGAGGATAAGGATTGGAGGCCAGCAATCACAATTAAACAGGTCATTAATTATACTTGGACATAAGCACTTATTTGCTTTGCCTGATTGTCTTACATGAATCTAAAATGTTCAGCATATGCTTCTGCAATTGACTTCTAAGAGTGTGTATTTCTTTTTCGTCTGTTTGTGTTGTTTTAATGGTATGTAGGCATAGATGTTACTAGGAAATACTATTAACTTCCTGTTCCTTCTTAAACAGATCTTGTTAGGAATACAAGAGCTTCTAAATGAACCAAATATTCAAGACCCAGCTCAAGCAGAGGCTTACACAATTTACTGGTGAGTATCTTTACATATCAGCTTCAAAGCCGTTGTATTACAAAATCACAGAATATTCAAGGTTGGAAGGGACCTCTAGAGATCATCTAGTCCAACCTTCCTGCTCAAGCAGGCACACCTACAGCATGTGGCACAGGGCGGCATCCAGGCGGGTTTTGAAGACGTCCAGAGAAGGAGACTCCACAACCTCCCTGGGCAGCCTGTTCCACTGCTCTGTCACCCTAACAGTAAAGAAGTTCCTCCTCACCTGGAGAYRGAACTTCCTSTGCTYCAGCTTATGGCCATTACCCCTCGTCCTATCGCTGGCCACCAGTGGAAACAGCCTGTCCCGTTCCTCCCTGCATTCTCCCTTCCTGAACGTRTACATATTAATCAGATCCCCTCTCAGCCTTCTCTTCTGCAGAGAAAACAGGCCCAGCTCACTCAGTTGTATTATCTACAACTACTTGTAACTGATAGTATAGTATGGAAATATTCTTACTTTCACAGCTGTAGTCTGTGGAGATGTCTAGCTCATGCTAAATTTAAGCAAAAGAGGAACTTCAAAGTTTAATGGTTTAATAATATGAAAACAGCAGTACAAAAATAAAGAAGAAAATTATTCCCATTTTTAATGTCTGACAGGCTGAGATTTAGTCAAACTTGGGTATATTTCCTTATGTAGAAACCCTTTCTTCTATAAGTCATTACATTTGAAACTCGTGAAATTCAGCGGGAATACACATAGCAAAATAATACACACACACACACACACACACACACGTACGTACGTACGTACGTTTCCAGAAACAGAAGCATAACACATACATCTTCCATAGAGCTTCTGCAGTGAAAAGTGAGGGGACGGGCAGAAAGCAGGGGGTTGGACTGGATTCTTACTAGACATCCCTTCCAGCCTCGGCCCTTCTGTAGTTTCAAGTCTTCCTTAGTTGCACCATGATGCGCATATTGTTTCTTGCGGGTACAGCATGCCTACCTCTAAAGCCTAAGTGAGGGATAGTGATGAGGCAATAATGATTTTGTGCAAGCAGCAATTAGAGGGGTGAGATTGGATTAGCTGATAAGTCCTATCATCAATACAGGAATAAGTTGCTTCTGTCTGGTAGTGGGCATTTGTGTCTGAAGGTAAGTGTAATGAGTGTGGAACATTTTGTGAAAAATAAGTCTTTAAAAAGGAGAGAGTCATGTATGGAAAGCTTGTAACTGTACAGAATGAATATTGCAGTAGCTATGAAAAGAGGTACTGTTTAAACAAAAAGAAAGAAGGTGTGGGGTGGAGGTCCTCAATCTTAATGTCCCGTAGTCAAAAATGGGCAGCTGATCTATAATCTCTGTGGGGGCAGAACAAGTTAAATGCTTTTGACTCCGGCAGCAGCTGAAATAATGACCCAGATCAAAGCATGAGGTTACCGTTCCAGACAGAAGTCTTCAGGAGGTTGCCAGATTAGAAAATGACATTTTATGAGACCACATCTCTGACATACTTTGGATGTGCCTGTATTACAGGAATCTAGCTTAAAGGAAAGATAGGGTTCATCAACATGTCTTGGATTAAATACTTCACTCAGTGTTACTCTTCAAGAATATATTCACAGGATTTTATTGAAGGTTGGATAGAATTGAGTGCAGGTGAAAGACATGCAGAAGGCTGCAGTTGTATGTAGTATTTTCAAGAGCAAGCAGTGTTGAGGGCAGGCCATTTTTTAACAAACTATTCTGAGGTACTGTGTGGGGAGGAACAGCATGCTTTTATCTAAATATATATATACACACACACATGTACCTAGTGCCTATGTGTCTCCTCTTAATGCAGACACACTGGTATGTGTATATTCAAAAACAACTTATTGTTCTTATTTCTGCCTTACTGAAAGGACAGGATCTTGGTTAATACTAATCAATCATATCAAGGTACAAATGAATATACTGCTTTAAGGAATAGTCTTATACTGCTAATATCTTACAACAGCATATCTTACATAAAAGAGTAAAGACAATGGCTTTAGTAAGAACTTGCCATTTTCTCTGTTCAGTCTGTACGCCTTAATGACTGATTATAGTTCCTTGTAGTAATACTTGTTTAATCAGTCTTCATGTATGCTAGCTGCTGTGAACTATTGTGCCCTTTTTAATGTGCAACACTTTTTCAACTAAAGATTAAGATAAAAATGGTGATTTGAGGCAGGATCTACAGAGAGTGATGCTGTTACTGTCTTTTTTCCCCTTCTTAGAGTGCTTTCCGTCTCCCCTCAAAGCAAAAGAGACGGCACTTTAAAATTGTATTAATTCTGCCAACTATTCTGTGAATTGGTCTTGTCGTGTGCTTTGTGTTGTTTGGTTACTAGCATTGAGCTTAAAGCATTAGCTTTAAGAGAGGAAAAAAAAAATCTTGCATGTAAGACACAGCTAGCCCAGTCAGAGGGCAGGCATAATCTTGCTTGTTACATGTTGGTATGGCATGTGGTGAGATAATGCAATCATTCAACAGAAGACTAAGTAACTAGTTAAACAGACCTTCCCTCCAAAGCAAATTGTCTGAGTATGATCCAGACAAATACTTAATACAGTGAATTCTTGTGCGTTATGAAAATAGTATTCTCTTCTGTCTAATGTGTGTTAATAGTGGTTTAGTTTCATATTGAAGGAGGGGAAAAAGTGCAATTATGATTTCTCAAGCTTCTGTTCTTTCTTATTCAGCCAAAACAGAGTGGAATATGAAAAGAGGGTTCGAGCACAAGCCAAGAAGTTTGCACCATCATAAGCATCTGTCATGCAGCATCTTAAAAAGGAAGGGATTGGTTTGGCAAGAACTTGTTTACAAAACTTTTGCAAAATCTAATGTTGCTATGTACAATTAATATCCACTTAGGGGAGGGGGTTGTATGTGTGCCATTTTCCATATTCGCCACTTGTATACAGTTCTAAATTTGCTGAATTGCCCCCAGTTTTTTCATACAGGGTCTCTTCCTTCAGTCTTTTGTATTTTTGATTGTTATGTAAAACTTGCTTTTATTTTAATATTGATGTCAGTATTTCAACTGCTGTAAAATTATAAACTTTTATACTTCTATAAATTCACTAGTATCTCTAGTTACTTTGCTATCTGATGCAGGCATGCTTTAAAATGTTTAGAACTATATTTAGCCTCCAGCTGGCTGTATGGGGAAAAAAATCATACCCTCCACCCCCTTCCCTCCCTGGATTTGTTTTTCTATCTTTCAGAAACTAGGTTGTTATTGCTTAAGAGCCTCTGAGATCCAAAGTCAGCCAGCATCTTTATTCTGCATCACTTTCTTTGTGTTTATATGGCGTTCTGTCTGTGTTGCTGTTTAGAGTAAATAAACTGTTTATATAAAGGGTTTGGTTTCATTATCTTCATTAAAATTATTAAAAGGATGCCATTTAAGCAGTTCCAAACACAATGAGCACATTTTTTTTTAATGTTTTCCTCGCTTCTCTCTCGTCTCCCTTTCTTGCCTCCAAAACAGATGTTGTCCTTTGAGCCTAGATCATGATATTCATAGCTTTGAGAGGAGTTGTAAGTACTTAAACAACTCACTGAATTATGTGACTAGAGACCAATTACTTACTGGTATGACCACTCCATCATAAAACAACAAAAATGCAGACTGACTTTTAACTATAGTACTAACTCTCAAAGGAATACAAGATGACCTAAAGTACCGGGGGATTTTAAATGGTATGTTTCTCCAAAATACTTTTGTGCCTTCTTCCATATGTTAATGTGTATAGATTTTTAGGAAAAAGAAGACATGCTCTATGTAAAGGAAACTGGTTAAATCATGTAAGTTTTTTTCCATGTATTCTAAGCTGGTATGCCCTATATTAAAATTGCACTTTTTTAAATGTATTTTTCTAGTTCAAGTAATTCTGTAAAACATACAATGATAAAAGCTTCATCCCATCTCATCTTCAGAGTTTTTGTTATTAAAAGCTAACCTACGTCTGCAGTAGTAATTATCTTAGTGTTACATCTGTGCTTTCAGGCTTGCTGTATTTGTCAACATCTGATTATGGTAGCACTGTAACATGAAAATACTCCCTCAAATTAGAATAGTTAGCACCATTGCATTCTCCTTCCTTGAAGACTGTGTGTAGAATTTAGAGATCCTTGCTCTCTAGCTTATAAGCTAATTTCAAAAAAAAGACTTCAAATTCTTGAGGTTGGAGGCAGAATAACTGAGGAACAAGGTTAAAGGTGGGATTCACTGTCAAGTCTGCTTCAAAATCTTTTCTCCTTTAAAGGGAGATAGGGTATTTGCACCACTAAAATTGCTGGTGTGACTCCCAAAGCTGCAGCAGAGCTAGAATTTCTTTGCTATAGAGTAGGAAGAAGGTTAAGAAGGTTAAGAGCTGTGGGTGGTGGGTGGTTGGTTTTTTTTTGGGGTTTTTTTTTTTTTTTTTTTTTCCTGCTGTGATTGGAAGAATTTAATCTTAGGCATATGAAGGGTTGCTGAAGTTCAGGTTTAACTAAACCTAAGGTTAGGTTCCACTTAGCTGCTGGAAACTCAAAATAGCATTCTATTTAAGTGCCCAGGAACCTGAAAATGGGATAATGGCTATACTTTCTAAACTGGCAGACAGCTCAAAGTGAAAGTGAGGGTAATGTGCAATTGTGATTTAGTGGAATGCTGTCTCAAAATAATGAGAATAGTGGCAGTAGTATTATTGAACCTACTGTCAGAAATTCTATGATATATCTCTGAATATAAAATGCTAAAGCTTTGGGTGTTGTCAAGGACCTTCTCATTGAACCTAAGCACATGAAAACTCAGCATTGAGATTTTAAAACCTTGCCAGGAAGGGCTTTTTCGTTTGTGAGGTGTTTGGTGGCGGTGGTTGTTGTGATTGGCTGGTTTACTGTAAAATAAGTGACACAACTAGAGTGGATAAACCAGCTTTAAGACTGCACAGAAGTCAGGAGCACCTTATGTGCTCTCATTTGGGTAATAATCTACAATTAGAGCTTTTGCGAGATGGAATATTCCCCAGATGTCAGAAAAGGCTAGTCTACAACATACTATCAAGTAAAAATAATTCCTATAAAGTGCTCTTCAGAAATGTTTCTTTACTAACATAACTAAGCTTCAACATCCTTACATAATAACCATTATGTATAATAACCTTTATATGTATAAGTAGACCTGTAAACCTCTGTGGCTATAGAGGTTCAGCTAGAAAGAGATAATTAAGCACCCAATTACAGGTGGACAGCTCCCATACTATTAACTATTCACAAGAAAGTGTCTTATACAAGATTTTACAACTCTTTACAAGGCTTTTATTTATTTTTCCAGGAGTTGATTTCTTGGTTCTTGGTGTAGCAACGTGTCACTGACATCTTCCTTGGAACTGTTCTCATCAYTGGTTTCAGTGTCATCATCTGTATTGCTCAGTGGACTGTCCTCAGATTCTTCATTACTTTGTGCTATTCTGGAAACACTTCAGGATGATAGCAGCAAAGTAATTTTCATACCAGAAAAACAAACAAAAATAACCTAAACAAATGACAAGAAAATCCAAAAAACAAACACTATGTAATTTAAATTTCATTACCCTGGGGCCTTGACTGGCCTATTAGGATTAGAAAATTCTTTTCCTGAGTCAACATCAAATGGATCTGGAGGGGAGGAAAAAAAAAAAACAAACACATTCAGATGCATGGCTGCCAGGGAGGGAAAGACATAGACAACATATCTGCTTCAGCTTTCTGATACATCTGACATATTCTGCCAAGAGGACAAAAGTGAGGAAAAAAACCTAAATACCATGTTCTTATCTTCTCATTCATCCTGTATTCTATTTGAAAATGGGGTTTAGAAGCAAATTGGGGACAGCCAGACTGCCCACATAGGTTGTTAAAACTTAGTTCTGGAACTAGTCAAAAGTCTTTTTGACTATCTTTTGATCTTGACCATTGAGCTTTCTTGTGTTGTCTTAAATGAGAGAAAGTACTTACCTGTGAATACAAACTGAAATACTGACATACCCAGTAAGTTATGCAAAGAACCTGGGAATAAGCTATCCTGCACTCATTTAAGGTATTTCCATTATCCTTACAGGTCTGCTTTTAAGCATCTTGGTTAGATACTCTTTATACATGTCTGTTAAGGATTTATCTAGACTTGAACATGACTCATTTACTGTCAAGACTTCATACCTGTATTTTTGTTACAGTTCTCCTATATTGTTAGTCGTATGATTCATATTCTGCCCTTGACAGTTGTAGATACAGTGAGGAGGTCAATATATTTTCTTTTTACCCATTAGTTCTCTAATAATATCCTAAAGTTAATTAGGGTATCTGCTCCACAGCTGAGCCAAATAAATTAATATTAAAAAAAAAATGCCCAGGTGAGAAAAGGTTTTTAGGTGTTTCTTACCTATTTCTTCTTTTATTTCTTGGACACTGTCTAAATACTCCTTTTCAACTCTCAGTACATCTTCTTGGCAATGGCAGGTTGCATACTTTTCCAAAAGATTTTTGTTCAAATCAATAAATGTCTTCCCCCATTTAAATTTCCTTAGAAGAATGGTGGCTAGGTCTGGAAATCCTAAACCAGAAGATAAAATATCAATTCTCTTTTAAATATGAGATTTTTACTTGGTTTACAGTTTTGCTTTTAATATCAGTATTTTTTCAGTTTCATAGTTTTAAGAGATTAAAGATTATTTAATCTTTAACTTGAAATATCTAAGTCCAAGAGAAGTTGATAGTCTTTTAGTCTTACATGAAAACATTAAAATATTTTGTACAATGGATGATTCAAGCTATAGCTCCCACCTCCTTTTTTAAGACACTAAATATTATACATACTATAAGTAAGTTCTCTCAGTATAGCAGAGAATGTCTGTTCCATTGTCAAGAAAGTTCTGTTGTGAACTTGGAAAACATTATGAGTAGGGGGTGTTTTCTTTCAATGTTCTCAACCAGAGCCCACCTTGTTACAAATAGCAGCTAACTTCTGTGAAGGCAAGAGGCCTAAAGATTAACACTTTCTTCTCTAACCCCCCCCCCCACCCCTTTTTCTGTTGTTTGTTTGTTGTTTTAGATTTCCTAACATTTGGTGCGGTTCTGACAAGAGTAGGGTCATCAGATCGTAGGTCATGTGGAGCAGCTGAGATGATCTCCACCCTAGAAGTATCTAAGAAAGGTAATTATAAGAACTAGATGGTCTCATTACAAGCACAAGACTAAGGTGATGAGCAATGGGAAGCATTGTAATTTATTCTATCAAAAATAATCCATTCTGGTTTATTAAAGATATGAGAATTGCTGGTAACACATTTCATATCAAACACATTAAAGCCTACCAACAATACAAAAAGTAGCAGCTAAAGCTTCCACGCATGACAGCTTGCATGGCCGGCCATAGTTTACAGGATTTGCAGCCACCAGGTAAGGCAGCAGCCGTAGATGATTTCCTTTCATTCTCTTAAAGGGAGTTTCTTCGAGTTTTGCCCATGAGCAATCTATGACTGCAATTCCACTCTGAGCAACAATATGTCTGGAAAAAAAAAAAAGAAAAGAAAAAAAAAAAAAAAGAAATATGCTGTATTTAAAAAATAATGTTTGGTTGTATTGATAAAATAAGTTAGAGTGAGAATTGCTGGTTGGGCAAAAAATGAACATACAACTCCCTTCCCTTCCCTTCCCCCTTTAAAAAATCTAAATTAAAACAAAGTAAAATTCAGCTGCAATGGGAAAGTGGGAAGGAATAACAATATACTTCTCTTCAGATTCCAAACTGAAAGTCATATCCACATGTTTCAAGCTGAAATTCAAGATTTTTAAAAAAAATGTGATTGAAAGATTAAAAATAATTATCTTGTTCTTAAGGCATTGAGATCAAAGTTCAGACCAAGTTCCTCCGCTAGCTTCTAAAGTAATCTCTTAATACATATACTCATCTTTAAAATTCTGCAGATACATTTGAAGAAAACCTGTGAAGTTTCCCAAAATAAGTTTTCTAGCTAATGGACTGTGGTGTCTAGTGCAAGAATTTTTATTGGGGGGGGGGGAGGGGAAGGTGTGTCTAAGCTGCCATGATTCTGCATGTACTGGCCTATAAGCTGCAGAACGCCCTTTACAGGTCTATAGATATTTTTCATCTGATAGCAGCCGTTTCAAAGTTTTAACCTTATTTAACAAGAAGACGCCGAGTCTGACAGTCACGCGCTAGCGGGAAGGAAGGGTTTGGGCCCCTCGCGGGCGCGCGCACCTGTCGGCCGGTGAGACGGGCGCAGTCGCGGCGGGGCTGAGCACGAGCCCCGCGAACCTCTGCCCGAGGCGCAGGGTGCGCAGCAGCCCCGCGCGCGCCAGCTTCCTCCCGGTGCACCGCTTGGGATCGCAGTGCCCCAGATCCCACATGGCCAGGGGGCAGGGCAGCTCCACCGCAGCGGCGCCGCCCTCCGCGGGCTCACCGCCCTCCAGGCAAKCTGCAACACAGACAGCCCTCAGTGCCGGCCGGCCAGGATCAGCACGGAGCCGCTCCCCGTCCCGCGAGACCCCAGGCGCGTCCCAACCAGACCGGCACCGGCCCCCAGGCGCGCCCCGTCCCGCCCTTCCAGCAGGCTGCCACAGACACCCTCAGTGCCCGCCCAATCTCCAGCCGCGACAGACCCGCAGCTGCGGCCCGCCCAGCGGCACCGACCGCAGCCTCAAGGCGCGACTCCCCCAAGCCCCTAGTCGCGCCTCACGAGCCGTCCCGGCCGCCATACCCTTCAGCGCGGCCTCCGTTTCTGCCGCGAAAGTGTCGAGGCTCTGGATGTCCCGGCGAGCGCTCCGCGCCGGGGCCGCAGCGGGCCGCGGCGGGCGTCTTCTCCGCCTCATGGGCCTGCGGTCGGCGGAGCTGGGCGGAGCGGCCAAGTCGCAGAGCCTTCCGCTTCCGAGGGCAGCGGCGATGGCGGTCGCCTACCTGCTGTTGGCGGCGCTAGGTGAGGTGGGGCCGGGGCAGCGGCCGGGGCAGCGGCCGTGCCGCTGTTGACCGCTCTCTGCCCGCAGGTGCCTTCGCTTCAGCGGCCAAGATGAAGATAGTGGAGGAGCCCAACACGTTCGGGTGCGTGGCCACTCGCGCGGCACGGCCGAGCAGTACGGGGCCGGGTCAGCTCTTCTCGCCGGGATCATCGCCTCCGCACGCCGCGCTCGGCTGCCGGTGGCTGGACACGATGGGGACCACAAACACCCCTTCCTCTTAAATCTTACATTTTAAATTTTCTTCTTTTAAAAGGCTCAATAACCCGTTCTTACCTCAGACAAACAGGCTGCAGCCAAAGGTGGCTCCTTCTGCAGTGTCAGGTATGTGCAAATGGCTCTTTTCTGTATGGGTTTTACCTTTCTCACAATAATAATTTCTAGAGTAATCTCCCTCGAATTTGTGCCTAGAATGACTAATTTTGCCAGTTACTTTGCATGAGTTGTGGAAAATAAGCATGACCAAATACATCTCCATGTGCATCTGGAAGATTAACAATTAAGTTTAACATTTTCAGTGTCCTCTTTGGTCTGCTTTTGTCAGTCTGCTGTCTTTGTGCTTCTTTGCTGCTTAAGCCTGCGAATCCTTACTGAAGACTTACTTCTTTTTCCTAAAACAATCCCTGATGTCCTTGAAATTCTTATACAAAAATGATGCTGTCATCTGGTCATACTTAGTTCTCAAAAGACCATTTTCAAATGTTTTTAGAATAGACTTGGAACGAGTCATAGAGACTCAATCACATATGCCAAGTGTGGATGCCACAGTATAACTTCGCACTGTAGTGGCAAAATAAACAGAAATCTAAGGATTTTTGACCTATATGGTGCTTATGTACCTATATGGTAGGTACAATAAGGGCTGAACTGGTATGGCAGATGAACAGACAGTAACGTTAAGTGAGCTGTTTCTTTAAATCTTCTCCTCCTAACCTTAGGCACAGACATAAGGCTCCTTACTGATTCAAGCTGAGGCTGATGATACTCGTGAATGGTGATGTTAAATGTGATTTTTTTGGTGACAGGGTTTATAAGCCTAAATTGACTATATAAATTATGTACATGCTGCATGTGAAAAGTGAAATAGTTAGAAAGAGGAATAATGATATTTGCAATGCAGAATGACAGGTGCCAAACAATAGGGAAAGAAGAAAAGGGCAGTATATCAGAAAACTTTCTTTCCTGGACTCACAAACTTACCTATAACTCAAAATTGGAAGTGTCTGTTGAACTGGAATCCGGGACACAGAACCCTGGCTTGCATGGTTTTTTCTTTAGTATGCATAACTGCCTTTTATGACACTTAGTGTAGTAGTTCTTTATAGTTACTCTAAGAGAGCATTTGCCCAGGAAACCGAGACATGAGTTGAAAATATTCCTTACGGACATTCAGATTTATATTTCTTCCCCTTTGGGGAAAGCATCTTAATCACTTGGCACAGATTGTGTATAGGAGAGGAGGAAACTTTTTAGGCAGGTTTGTGGTGATCATCAAAAAGAATGAAAGATCAGAGATCAGAAAATTATTCAAATTGCAGGAATTGTTTTTTTTTTTTTTTTTTTTTTTTTGCCTTTTTCCAAATGACAGCTTTTCCAAAAGGCAGCTTTACCATTTCTTCTAGCTAGCAGCTTGCTTTTGAGTGTTTTATCTTCCTCAATAACAACTGGAACAGTTGTTGATAAAGAACCAGCCAAGAAGACCAGTGAAGAAGCACATCTAGTTTGAGAGTGTTAGTGAAACTTAGGTGTGACGCACTCTTGATATTCTGAGCAAAAGGGCTTTGCTCCCATAAACTGTGGGATTTTAGATAACTGTGGACAGACAGGTGCCAAGTAAGAGTTCTGGTCATTGCAACTAGATTTTGGCAAGACTCCTGCACTGAGGATTGTGTTTATGGAGCTAACCTCAACTATTTCTATGTCTAAATTTCTTTTCACCAGAGAGAAAAGCTAACGTATTTCACCAAGTGTTAAAGATGAGGGAAGAAAAAAAAAAAAGATCTGGAAACACATTGATATACTATTAGGGGGAACTTACAATAATCCGTATGGAAGGTTTTCACCAAGGGGAAATCATGCTTGACTAACCTGATCGTTTTCTATGATGGAGTGACTRGCTGGATAGATGAGGGCAAAGCAGTGGATGTCGTCTATCTGGACTTCAGCAAAGCTTTTGACACCAACCCTCACAACATTCTCCTGAGTAAGATTCAGAAGTGTGGGATAGATGAGTGGACGGTGAGGTGGATTAGGAATTGGCTTGTTGGCAGGGCTCAGAGAGTGGTAATCAGTGGCGAAGAGTCCAGTTGGAGGCCTGTGGTTAGCGATGTCCCCCAGGGGTCAGTCCTCGGTCCGGTCCTGTTCAATTTATTCGTTAATGACTTGGATGAAGAGATGGAGTGTTCCCTCAGCAAGTTTGCTGATGACATGAAACAGGGAGAAATAGCTGATAGCCTGAGGGCTGCACTGCCATCCAAAGGGACCTGGACAGACTGGACAACCGGGCGGTGAGAAATCTCATGAGGTTCAACAAGGGCAAGTGCAGGGTTATTCCCAGGTGAGGAATAACCCCAGACACCAGTACAGGCTGGGGACTGGCGTTCTGGAGAGCAGCCCCGCAGAGAGGGACCTAGGTGTCTTGGTGCATGACACGATGACCATGAGGCAGCAGTGTGCTCTGGTGGCCAAGGCCAACGGCATCCTGGGGTGCATTAAGAAGAGCATCTCCAGCAGGTCGAGAAGGGTGAACATCTCCATATACACAGCCCTGGTGAGGCCACATCTGGAGTACTGCGTCCAGTTCTGGGCTCCCCAGTACAAGAGGGATGTGGAGCTGCTGGAGAGAGTCCAGCGCAGGGCTACCAGGATGATCAGGGGCCTGGAACATCTGTCCTATGACGAAAGGCTGAGAGAGTTGGGCCCATTCAGCCTGGAGAAGAGACGGCTGAGGGGGGACCTGATCAGTGTCTATAAATACCTCAAGGGAGAGAGTGAGGAGGAGGCGAAGCCTAGCCTCTTTTCAGCGATAGGACTAGAGGAAATGACTACARACTGAAGCAGTGGAAGTTCCACAGGAACTTRAGAAAAARTTTCTTGACAGTGAGGGTGACAGAGCCCTGGAACAGGCTGCCCAGGGAGGTTGTGGAGTCTCCTTCTTTGGAGATCTTTAAAACCCACTTGGATGCAGCCCTGTGCCATATGCTCTAGGTGACCCTGCGTGTGTAGGAAGGTTGGACTAGATGACCTCTGAGGTCCCTTCCAACCTTAAGCATTCTGTGATTCTATGAAGATATGTATTTCCTGATATACAGAGGAAAAATGTATTTGTTAAGCATTCCTTACAACTCTGTCACCACAGTAACTTGTTTAACCAAAAAATATTATTTTGTGATGTCATTTTGTGGTGTTTTTAGGCCCTGCTCATCTCTTCAGGCTTGCTGGCAAGTGTTTCAGTTTTGTGGAATCCACGTGAGTAATGGATTTGAATATTTGACTCTGTCTGTTTTAATGAGGAACAAAGTAGTTCTTAACTCCAGTCTGAAACATTTATTATTGTTTTTTTCCCCCCCCCTTTTTTTTTAAGGTATAAATACGAATTTTGTCCTTTCTCTAACGTCACTCAGCATGAGCAGACTTTTCGGTGGAATGCCTATAGTGGAATTTTAGGGTAAGGCTATTTAGAGCTTTATGTTTTACTTATATTACTAGCAGATCATTGACAAAAAAAAGTGCATGTTTTCAAGCTTTTATCAACTATCTTAGGTCATTGTAGTTTCCAGAGAATTATGCAGATGAGTACTCAGTCTTGAAATAGCCTTTTTTTTTGATTAAAAGTTAATCTCCTGGTTTTAGCTGGAGGCCAACTAATAGCTGATATCAACAGCACTAATTATATGTTCTTGTAAGAATGTCCAGTAGTGTTCAACTACAATTTGTATTAACCAAAGGCTTCATGTCTCTTCAATATATTTTCATTCTGAGTTATGTGCAGAACTTAGACCTTACAAAATAGAATACATTCTGCATGCCTCATGGTCACTTTAAACATATTTAATAAACAGTAATAGAAAACTTGGTATAGATGTAGTATCAATATCAAAAGAGCTAACATAAATTTAATTGTAAATCAGTACACTGCCTTAACAAAATGACTTTTTAATTTATTTTTATATAGGTGTCTGTGCAGTTGAGTGAAGGACTTTTTTTTTTTTTTTTCTTATGTGCACAATAATCAGTGAGGCAATGTGAGAAAATCAGAATATCACCTTTTGAATGAACAGAAGTAGAGATTACTTTTTGTAGACTATCTTACCAGTGCTAGAAATGGTCCTGCAAACAATTTTGGATTTGTTGTGGGATGCATCTCTGAGCTGTTTTTAATTGAGATTAAGCTAGGATTTGTAAATGCAAATACTTTATAAACTGACAGGCATGGCACTCTGCTGCAAAAGTAACGTTGATACATAAGAGCTTGAATAACAAATTTCACTATTTGAAAGGTGAAGAGATCTTTTCTGTAGGAAAATAAAGTATTAAGACAACAAAACTGATGTATACAATTAATTTGAACCTTATATGCGAGTATTCTTTTTTTTTCCCCTCTGTTTTCACATTTTTCTTTCCAGTAATTTAAAACACTTGATGTTCTGCTTTTTCAGAATCTGGCATGAATGGGAAATTGTCAACAATACATTTGTTGGAATGTGGATGAGGGAAGGAGACTCCTGTGAAAGCAAGAGCAGACAGACAAAGGTATAATAACAAGTTATGCAGACTCAGTATTGCACTATACAGATACACGTGATGCACTATAAGCTGAAATGCTTCTACCTCAAAGAGTTTGTGGTTTAGGACATGATATAAAATTAAAAGAT